CAGGCGGCCAATCCACAGCTCTCTCTGTGTGCTGTGCTGTGTGTTGTGTGTGTGCTGCATCCATCGACTCGTCCATCCATCCATTCCTCAGGTGCCAGGCAGTATGGGTCAGACGTTCAAGGCCGACGAGAACCCGCTCCCCGACCTGTCTGACAGCAACTCGCTCTTCATCAAGGAGCTGGTCTACCGCACCGAGGACGAGCGCGCCATGAACGAGACCTTCAGGCGCATGAAGGAGCTCATCAAGAAAGTCAAGGCCAAGCAGACCCTCGAGGACCAGAAGCGCGACCTCGTCGAGCAGGCCACCCTCCAGATCAACCGCTCTGGCAAGAGCCGCCCCATCCTCAAGGAGCTCATGGTGCGCCCCAACGTGTCGGGGTCGCGCAAGGTCATCGGCAACCTCGAGGCCCATCTCAACGGGCTGCGCTTCTCGGCCGCCCGTGCGAGCGAGAACGTCGACATCATCTACGCCAACATCAAGCACATGATCCTGCAGCCGTGCGTCAAGGACCTCATCGTGCTCATCCACTTCCACCTGCACAACCCCATCATGGTCGGCAAGAAGAAGACCTTCGACGTCCAGTTCTTCCGCGAGGTGGGGTCGCAGGCCGACGATCTCGACATGAGGCGCGGGGGGCGGTCGGGGTACGACCCCGATGAGATCGCCGAGGAGGAGCGTGAGCAGCGGCAGAAGAAGGACCTCAACGACAAGTTCCAGCGGTTCGCCAAGGACGTCGAGAGCCTCACCGAGAAAGAGTTCGACATGCCCTACCGCGAGCTGGCCTTCACGGGAGTGCCCAACAAGAGCAACGTGACCATCCTGCCCACCGTCAACTGCCTCGTCCACCTCACCGAGTGGCCGCCATTCGTCCTCACACTCGAGGACATCGAGATCGTGTCGTTCGAGCGCGTCATGCACGGCCTCAAGAACTTCGACATGGTCTTCGTCTTCGAGGACTACGCCAAGGCGCCCAAGAAGATCGACTCCATCCCTACTGAGAACCTCGACACACTCAAAAAGTGGCTGGTGAGCTGAGCGATGTCCACAGACACACACGACACAGAGGGAGGCAACACACATTGACGTCATCGACACACGTGCAGTGCATGTCTGCCGTCTCTCTCTCTCTCTCTCTGTCTGTCTCTGTGTGTGTGCTGTGTTGTGTGTGTGGTCAGAATGAGTTGGACATCGTGTGGTATGAGGGCAAGCAGAACCTCAACTGGCCCAACATCCTCAAGACCATCAAGGTGAGACAGACCACACACCCCCAACACACACCCGGCCCGTCCATGTGTGTGTGTCTGTGTGTCTGTGTGCGTGTGTGTGTGTGCCAGGACGATGTTGAGGGGTTCGTTGAGCAGGGCGGGTTCGACTACTTCCTGGGTGAGGAGGACGAGAGTGAGGAGGACGATGACGACGAGGAGGAGGACGAGTACAAAGACGAAGAGGACGAAAGCGCTGAGGAAGAAGACGAAAGGTACGCACCTCACCCAACACAAACACAACCACCCAACACACAACCAACACACACCGCGCCCTCTGTGTGTGTGTGTGTGTGTGTGTCTGTGTGTGTGTCTGTGACTTTGCAGCAGTGACGACGACGAGTCGTTGGCTGAGGAGAGCGACGAGAGCGACTTCCAGGACCTGGACAGCGACGAGGAGGAGGGCAAGGACTGGGACGAGCTCGAGGCGGAGGCCGCCAAGGAGGACAAGAAGAAGAGAGAACTCGAGGACCAACCCGCCAGCAGACACAAGAGGAAAAGGAAATGAGTGAGTATATTCATACACACACACACACACACACACATGCCACACAAGGGGCTGCTAGAGTAGAGGAGAGAGAGTGGCGTGTGGCGTGTCTTGATGGGCGTCTTTCTGACTGACTATCAGTGGCGGTGACTTGCTGAGCTCTGCCTCCCTCGGCTGTGCGTGTGTCCGTGCCGCCCCGCCTTTTTATCGCTGGCTGGCTGGCTGGGTGTTGCTGCATTCCTGTACCTGACATCGCACTGCCTGCCTCCCTCCTTGTGTTTCCTCTTGCGCGTCTATCTCCTGTCTGGTGCCTGCATGCCTGCCTTCGTGTCGCTGTTGTCGTCATCCATGCCGGTGACCCTCGCCGTGCATGCCTGCATGCCTGCATGGCGACGGTCACGTGTTGTGGGGGGCGCCAACGGCCACACAGAGGCAGGCGAGGCGGATGATATGATGCGCCCCATCTTCTTCTTGTCGTCAGATTAGCTTGTAGAGGATTCAATCGTTGGTTGCGAGCTGTGTGTGCTCTTCTCCTGTGTGTGGCTACGTTGGTGGAGCGGAATGCTCTCGCCATGGTCTGTCCGTCGACCATGGCTGGGTCATGCCGGTCGCACCACGGCAGCCACACACTGGGCAAGCAGACACACCAAACAGACTGAGTAAGGATATATGGCCAGCCAGACAGCGGCGTGCAGTGGCATGCGTCTAAGTACTGACTGGTAGGCAGTAGGTAGCCTGGCCTGGCGTGGCGGCGGCTGCCTGTTGTGTGTGTGTGTCGGAGGGAGACGGATGGCAGGCAATGTAAATACCGACTCGGATGGCTAGACAGACGGATGGCTAACCATGCGCGCGTGTACCTGCTTACGTGAGTGGACAGATGACCGATTTTAATCTCAATGCATGCCATGCTTGTGTAACTAGCATTGAGTTGATTTGATGACACCACACCAAATGTCAGTCAGGCACTTGGCCAACATAAAGGTGACCGACACGGCACACACAGGACAAGTCTCCTCACGCACCGCACAGACGGCGACAAAAGGACAACTCGCACAACAATTAATGTAGAGTCGCGGGAGATAGCCCGATCGTCTCAGTTCGGTGTGACTCGTTTATCAGACGAAGACCCACGGCATTCGTCAAGCTGCAAACAATCAGGCGCAGCATGTCGACACTTTCCTCAGCTTCCTGCACACATACCTGCACACATACCTGCAGCTTGAGTGTGGCGACCTGACTGCTGAGCGACTCAATCTGAACGCACCACAGCCACCACAGCAGCACCAGCAGCCCGTTTGCTTATGAGCCGCGCCAATCTGCCTGTCTGCCTGCTTGTCTGACCTCCTTTTGCTGCGTCGACACAGTGTCCATTAGGCTGCTGAGCGCCGCCCGCCAAAGGTGGCAATCGAGCGCATCGAAGACTTTGTTGCGGTCCTCATGGCTGAGAAGGTGCCCCAGTGTTCGCAGGAATGCCGGCACATCCGCCATGTGCCGCCGGACTGCGTTGCCCAGGAGCGCTGCGTCTGCCGCGTTGAAGCCGCCCGTCGGCCCGTTGACATTGATGCCCTTCCACCAGTGTGCCATGAGCAGCAGCTGCCGCCGCACCGGCATGCGGCTCCAGTGGGCCATCAGCACCATGGCCACGGCACGGTCCAGCGAGCTGCACACACGAACAACCAACACAAACATCGACACATACACCCCTATAATGCTCTGACGGTTGCGCTCGCGTGCTCACCTGGCTATGGTGGCGACTTCGTCCCAGTGCGAGTCTTTAATGCACTTGCGCAGGTAGTGAAGCGCCATCACACGCATCGGGTAGGTCGTAATCGCCAAGTTCACCTTGACGTCGCTGCACCTGGCGTCGCCCACGCCCTTCTCTCGCAGCGTGTCGGCTGGCAGGTTGGGCTCGACGTAGCACAGGAAGGGGCTTGCGCCGAGAAGAGCGACGCCGAAATACTTGACCTCGTCCTTGACACACTCCCGGCTCACAGTGGGGGCTGCGTGAAGTGGCACGGGGGAGCCTTGGGCGTTGCTGGCCTCCACTGACCAATCCAGGCTGAAACAGGCGGCAGTACCCCCCTCAGTGCACAGTCGGCTGGACAACCTGACGAAGACCCCCCAGTCCTTGATGTCAGTCACATTGGTGGTCGCCGTCACGCCTCCCCCTGGCGCCTCCACGCGTATCTCGACGGGGGGATCAATGACGCGGTTACGTGCCGGGGCGGCAACTCCAGCTGCGATAGGTGCCAACGGTGGTATGGGTGCTATACGAGGGATACCGTAGGCGCCAACCGCGAGGCGGCCGTCATCAAGTGGGAACCAAACGTTGCCAGCGGATGGGGTGGGTTGAGGTACAGCGAGGGCATGCTGTGACGTGGATGTCGAGACGAAGACCTCGTGTTGTTTCACACGCGCTGATTTATCAACCAAACAAACACAGAAAGCAAAGCCTGTCTGGCTGTCACACCAATGCCTGTCTGTCTGTGTCGGTGTCTGACCGATGGCCTCTGTAGCGCTCGAAGCGCCGGTGCCGATCTGAAGGAAGAGGCCCAGCTGCTCCTTGGAGGCACTCATGTTGCCGGCGGAGATGGCGTCGCCCACTGCTTCCGTCAGGGCGATAGCGGCCTTGATGGCCTCACCCTCCTGTCCCTTGACCGACGCCTTCCACTGCTCACGGAGGACCGAGGGGTCGGCCATGAGAGCGGCCACGAGGCGGGCCTGGATGTCCTTGAAGCCGTGGATGAGCCGGGCGATCAGCGGGCAACTGCCGAAGCTGTCGAGCAGGGCCCTTGCCACAGACGAGTCAGCCAGCCAACCCGCCGCGACAACCTGCAGCAAACCAAGTAGAGCAATAATATCAGTGCGTCACTCATTCAGTCAGTCAACACCGTACCCGTCGTTTGATTTGGCCCAGCAGGCTTCGCGCGTTGCCGTCTGTGACCCACAGCGGCTGCAGGTAGTCGATGGCCACTAGATCTCTCACGAAATTGTCCTTGGTCATCGCAGGAGCGATGTCGCCATCAGGCTGCAGCACCTCCAGTGCAACCGAGCGGTCGATGCTGTCGATGCGCATCTCTTGCTGCTGCCCCTCGCGAAAAGCACCGCTCAACACCTGGATCAATGCAATGCACCTTGCCCTCGTGTGTCCATAGTGCTAGCTGTGCTGGCGTTGCGTGACCTGTGTGAAGTATCTGTATTGCTTTGCCACACTCTCCTTGATGACGAGAGGAGGCTGCTCGCCGCCGAACCGGAGAGTGATCTCACGCTCAACTCCTGTCATGGCCACAATCTTCGGCCCTTAACCTGTCGGAAATAGCGTGCTCAATTTGCTCGTAGAGTAGGTGATGACCAACCAGATAGAGTGAGAGTCTTTTCCTTTGGAAAAAACCCAATGTGCTCAAACGCTTACCATTGGCCCTTTGACTAGTGGCTCCGTTTCACGCCCTAAACCCTCCGCTTCACGAAGCAACTAAGCTCGTAGGGTTCAGGGTTTAAACCCTATAGCCCCTCAAACCCTCTGGCGCCGCCCTGCCCCGGGTGGTCTGCCAATTGGTTCCTTGGCTCTTGTCAGCCTTGCTAACGGCCCACTGCACGAGATCTGTCAGTTGTCCCCTCTCTCTGTCAGCACACAGGCGGCTGCTGGCGGCACATACAGGTGCGTGATTCAGGTGGACGTCATGCACACGGCGGGCGCGTGACACGCCGAAATGATGCATGTGCTGTCTTGACGGGTGGTTCCTGGATCTGTGTGTGGTGTGCTGCAGACGTCGTGTGGTGTGTGAGGTGCAGCGGTGTGACAAAGGAGTGAGGGCACTCGACCAACTGGTACGCCGAGAGAGATGGGCACGTGTACTGTACACAGCGGGACAGGCAGGACTCACACCCACAGATGTCTCCTCTCTCTGTGTGGCGTGTGTCATCTTAACGGATGCAGGTGGCTGATGGCGATGATATGTGCTGGAGGGAGAAAGATCGGCCGATGAGCCGACAGACGGGCTGACTGAACTGACTTAACTGAATCTCTCACTATGTCGCCTTTTGGTCGTATGTGCGTCGATCTCACTCTGTTGTGTTGTGGGGCTCTGCGTGTCGGTCGGTCTGGCTGCCACTGTCATGTCGTCCTCGCTGTCTACCTCTCACCCGTCAGCTGCCATGAGTGTGTCGGCTGATGAGTGGGGGGCGGGGGAGAGATGACAGACAGACAGACAGACAGACCGACAGACAGAGAGGGAGGATTGGCTGGCTGGCTGCACAAAGGAATCGCTGTGTGGTGTGGCGGTGGCCGTCTGTCTGTTCATCGGGTGTGCGTGACGACTGTTCGCGAGAGTGTGTTGACCTCTCGTCGATGCATCCGTCACACACGGCCGGCAGACAGACAGGCAGCCCGACACACACACACTGATCTGCCTGTCAGTTCGTCCGAGAGAGAGAGTCCTCTCCCTCCTCTCTCTGTGGGCATCTAGCTCTTCCGTCAGTAACGTCAGAGCGTCAGCCCGTGAAGGGAGTTGGTGCTTTAGGGTTGCCGGGCGGTGACAGAGATGCGCACAGAGGGGGCGGGCGAGGGAATGAATGGACACACACACACACACACAGAGAGAGAGAGAGAGAGATCTGTCTTTGTCTGACTGTCTATGTGTCTGCGTGTCATAACGCACTCTGTCTATCTATTGCCTGCTGCTGTGTATGTGCGTGTGGGAAGGAGAAAGAGAGAGAGAGAGAGAGAGAGAGAGAGACGTCGGTTTGGTTCGTCCGTCGTATGCATCGTGTGTCGATGTGGCCGGCTGTGGTTTTCTTGGTGGTCATTCGACACATTGAGCGGTTGACTGACGGACACACACACACACACACACGCACAAAGGAGTGGCCAGGCCGTTCCTTGACTGACCTCCTCACTCTCAGGGTATCGGTTGTGTCTCTCTGATGTGACATCTCAACCACCTGACGGCCTCTGTGTCATGTTGGGTGTCTTGCTGGTGATGCGTGTAATGCTTTGAGTGACTGAGTGGCTGACATGTCCGCTGCGTTGAGGGGCGCCGAGGTGGCCGTCGACTGCAGTCGAATGCGGCAGTGATCCGCAGGCAGGCAGCGACACACACATGGATGGATGGATGGATGTGCCCGAGGAGAGGACACACAAAACGGTCTGTGTCGCATTTGTGGGTGCAGGTGTGATTCGGTGACGGTGAAGGCGATGTGGGGGAGGCAATGCCGATGGCGCTTGTGGGCAGCGTGACGACCTGCTGGCCATCACAGCTGACTGACTGACTGACTGGCGCTGCGTATTTATCTGTATTGTGTGTGAGTGGAAGGTCGGCCGATGTGTCGACGAGCTGATGTGAGTGAACTGACTGTTTGTCTCTCTGCCGCGTGGACGGCATCGATGGACTGACGGCTGTCGTGTTTATGAGAGTGTATTGTGTTGTGGGGCTTTGCGTGTCGGTCGGTCTGGCTGCCATTGTCATCTCGTCCTTGTCTGTCACGTCTCAGCCGTCAGCTGCCATGAGTGTGTCGGCCGATGAGTGGGGGGCGGGGGAGAGATGACAGACAGACAGACAGAGAGGGAGGATTGGCTGGCTGGCTGGACGAAGGAATCGCTGTGTGGTGTGGCGGTGGCCGTCTGTCTGTTGGTGGAGGAGTGTTGGACGTGTGCTCGCGAGAGTGTGTTGATCTCTCGTCGATGCTTCCGTCACACACGGCCGGCTCACAGACAGACAGACCGACACACACACACACAAAAGAGAGAAACCGTTTCGGTTTTGCCAGCTGTGTGTGTCCTCCCCTCTCTGTGGGCATCTGTTCTCTGCACTGGCAACCCCAGAGGATCAGCCCATGAAGGGTGTTGGTGCTTTAGGGTTGCCGGGCGGTGACAGAGATGCGCACAAAGGGGCGGCCGAGGGAATGGACACACACACACGCAGAGAGAGAGCGATCTGTTTCCCCGTGGGTCATGTGAGTGGATGAACCGATGTGTGACTTTCTGTTGCGTTTGGGTGGGATGGGATGTCTGCCCGACGCGCCGGTGAGTGTCCCGACATCCGCAGCTGCGTGCAGTACACCTGGAGCTCCGATGATTTTCCGCGGGCTCTGTGGGGGAGGAGGATGGCTATGGTTATGCTGTGCTGGGCGGGTCGGAGCACTTCCATGCGGATGAGATAGAGGTGCTGCACCTGATGGGGAATGAGTCGATGGGAGGATGCATTTCTCGCTTTCCTGTCTGCATACACACACACGGGGGATAAGGTGGCGGGGTGACTGTGACTGGGGGATCGGTGCGGTACAGAAGGAATGTCTTTTCTTGGTTTGCAGCGTGGTGGATAGGTCGATGCTTGTACCGGTAGATGAGTGACGGATTTTTTTCGTCTCGGTGATGTGTTGCCTGTCTGGCCTGACCTGGCCTGGCCGGACCATGCGTTTATGTCCGTGTATCTTGACCGCATTCAACCCACTCATCAGTATGTTGCGCGAGCTTCTCCTGTGTGTGGCTACGTTGGTGGAGCGGAATGCTCTCGCCATGGTCTGTCCGTCGACCATGGCTGGGTCATGCCGGTCGCACCACGGCAGCCACACACTGGGCAAGCAGACACACCAAACAGACTGAGTAAGGATATATGGCCAGCCAGACAGCGGCGTGCAGTGGCATGCGTCTAAGTACTGACTGGTAGGTAGTAGGTAGCCTGGCCTGGCGGCGGCTGCCTGTTGAGTGTGTGTGTCGGAGGGAGACTGTAAATACCGACAGAATGGCTAGACAGACGGATGACTAAGCATGCGCGCGTCCTGCCGTGGATACCTGCTTGAGTGGACAGATGACCGATTTTAATCTCAATGAATATGCTCCTGCTAAGCTCCTGCTAGCATCTTCCTCTACCGGTGCGAGCTTCGACTCGGAGGCCGATCCTTGTTCTTCCGTCCGATGGAGGACTCATTGAGGCGTCGCCGTCGAGAAGAAGGAGAAGGAGAAGGGAGCAAAGCAGATGATGGTCATCGCGGTGCAAGAGGACAGCAAGCCAAGGCAACAATTCAGGCAGGCAACGGATCTGTGCGTGCAGCACAGTCACCACAGCACAGCACAGCACAGCACAAGATACTCATCCATCTCATGTGTGTGTTCAGGGTGGGAAGATGGATCTGTCATCGAGCGAGATGCAGCAGGTGCTTCGAGAAGTCCTGGTGCAGAAGGGCGCGTCCTCCTCCTCCAGCAGCAACCGCACCACCTACTGCCTCATCCTCACTCTCGTCCTGCTCTACCTCCTCACCGTCATACCCACATCAGGTACTAGGCATCAACACTCACTGCACATGAGGACCGACCGGCCGACACACGTATTGTGCCTGCAGTGTATCTGTACTACCGCATTCTGGGCGACGGGAGGGGAGGCGAGCTGTCTGTCCGCGACTTTACCTCGCTTCTCAGCTCGTCCGTCACGTCCACCATCAAGGGACTCCTGCTGCCGCCCCCCGTGGAAAAACTCACCTGGAGAATCACAGGCGGAGGCAGCAAGAAGGCTCAGAAGCCTACGTCGATCGAGGATGAGCTCCCCCCTCTCCCCCCGATCGCTTTCGGTGCCCTGCTGCCGTACCCGTCACCAGATGACCCGTATCAGCAAGAGGCTCTCATGACGCTGCCCGATGCACTTGATCGGGGATTTGATTTCCTCTCAGTGCCGGTGGGCAACAAGACGGCCGACGGCAGATGGCGGCCAATCGCGGCGTCCGACATTGGCCTGAGTGTCGAGCAGATGCGCACGCGGCTTGCTGGCCATGTGAGAGCTCGGGATGGGTCGGACGTCGATTCGGTGCTGGAGCAGCTGGAGGTAGCCCGCAAGACCGACCTCCTCGCAGTGGTCCTCTCCGTGCCCATGACGATGCTCCAAGACCAACAGCTGGTCAGCAACCTGACGGACGCCGATCGGCCGCCGATTCCCTTTGAGCTGTGGGTGCGGGTGCCTCCAGATGACGCTGGTTGGTCAGGCTGGACGGCCTTCCACCGACAGCTGAACTATACGCCCCTTGCACAGGCGCTTCTCGATCTGCGAGACCCTTTGGTTCCCTTCCAGGAGAGGTGGAAAGGCGAGCTGGTGAGCGGCGTCCTGCTGCCGATGTCGGTCTTCGCCACTGGAGGAGAAGGTGACTCGGCGCGGCAACTGCCCGCGAGTGTGTCTGAGTGGGTGTTGGGTGTGATGGACCTGCGACAAGCTGTTGTGATCGAGTATGAGGGAGAGGGCTACGGCTACCCAGTTGTCGGCTCCCCTGGTCAGAGTCTGTTGGCCGAGTGTGGCTCGGCTGTGGCTGAGACGGTTGCCCAAGAAGAGGAGAGGAGACAGCCGGCCACAAAGGTGGGAGGGAGGAAAGACACCAGAGGTCTCCGAAACATGGATGCACTCTCCTGTGGTGTTGTGCAGGCGGAGAAGGTCGAGCGGGCTCTCGACGTTCTGTATCAGGACGTGCTGGTGTCGCTACTGGCGCCCATCCCTGAGCAGGTTGACGAGTCAGCGGCCGATTACTTCCACAGCGACCCCGCCACCGACATGCTGTACGAGGAGGCCCTCGCACGATGCCTCTCGGACCGACTGGTGGCCGGACACCTGGACGCCACCATTGTGGTGAGTTAAGGATGCAAAGACAGTCGTGGCATCGGTGTGTGCATTTGTGTTGTTGTCGTGGATGGATGGATGGATGGATCAGGTCAGCGGCGGAGGCCGCGGTGCTCTCGTGCAGTCGGTGCTCAATGCCGTCAGCAAGGCCAAGATCAAGGTGCAATCTGACTGACATGCGGATTTCGCTTTTGCTTCTGTTAACAAAGGTGCCAAGCTTGCTTCTGTCTGAGTGACTGTGCAGAAGTGGGATGTTCATGTGGTTGAGGGCTCTGACGAGGCAGTCGACGCACTCAGGTACCCATACAGAGACACACAGGGTCACATTTCCACAAGGCACTGCGATGAATGCAATGCCCACCTCGTGTTCAGGAAGCGTGTCAGCGGCGCTGGCGACCTGATGTGGCGCAAAGTGAAGGTCACCCCAGGCGATCTGAGGACATTTTCGCTGCCGCATGGCAAGAGGGCTCACGTGCTGGTGGCCCCCCCCGCCGAAAACCACCACTCACCCGAATACATCAACGGTACGGTGCCTTAGCAAACCATCCACTCACCCACACACATGAATGGGACGGATGTGTGTCGTCTGTCTCTATCGCGCGCATCAGTTGCCTTGAAGGGCGGCAGTCTGTTGGCTCGCGATGGTGTGGTCATCCCCAGCGAGTACAGCACCTTCGTGACGCCCGTCAGCACCGCCCGCCTGTGGACGAGGCTGGCACAGACGCAGGACCTGTTGCAGACGCCCTTTTTAGTGCACAGCAAGGCACAGTTCTTCCCTGCCAGGTGGGCGGGAGGGTGTGTCAGCAGAGGAAGGAGCGGCACACGTCGGCTGTAGTCCAGTGAGGATGTGCTGCGTTCCTTGATGCAGGGAATCCTCCGGCAAGGTGCGTGTCGAGAAGGTGTGGTCGTTCCACCACCCTGACAGCACCTTCACGACCATTCAGGCGGGAGAGCGGTCATTCCAGGTGCGTGGCGCTGGCCGACACATCCACTCAGTCGTCAAGTGACCGACCACCTGTGTGTGTGAATGTGCGCCTGTCCGTGTCTGCGTGTCTGTCTCATCAATCAGGGTGACTTCACCATGAGTGTTGCTGCAGTGGTGCACGGCCTCTCGAAGTTCTTCAAAGCGACCCTCTACAAGGACGTCCGTGTGTCCACACTCCCCGGGGAGTCGGTCATCGGGCAGCTGTTCGCTCCGCTGTTCGTCCCATTCGTGCGCCCCCTCATGCTCTCACAAAATGACACTCTCAGGTACCTTGGCGGTCAATCAGGCCAGGCGGGGAGTGAGACAAGTGCTCGAGTCGCATGACGGTGTGGCTGCTCTCATGCTCTTCTGTGTGTCAGCGTGTCGATGCGTCGCCGCGTGGATGTGTCGCGGATGGAGGTGTGGTACGAGTGGCGGCCCGAGGCACGGCAGTGCGAGGAGCTTGGGGGCCTCTGCGGTGTGCACAATGCTGAGGGTGCTGTGTTCAACATGACCATCCCTCCACTGAGATGACGGCTGGACGGGAGGACGCCCTCGCCCCTTTATTTGGTGTGTGGCTGATCTGATGTGTACGATGTGCCTTTCCAGCCCTGTTTCAACGCGAAAAGTGTGCCACCACAGACAGGGATAAGACGATCTGGTGGTGTGATGACTCATGAACCCGGGCATGCAACGAGCTTTATTCAACCGTCACATGGGGGCGGCCCGGCCAGCCACGCAGGCGCACAGGCCAAGTCGCATAATTCAAAAGGTCCATCCGTCCGTCCACATCCACCCATCTACTGTGCACCACGCACGGCACGACAGTATTGGGCCACGCACTCCCTCTCACATTGGCCACGCACACCACCACCACCACCACACACACCCAGACCCACTGCGTGACACCAAGACAGCCCGCCCTTCGGTTGGTCGGTTGACGACGCGGCCTGGTTGGTCTAGTACATGGGTCCTCCTCTGCTCTTCTTGTCGCCGCCCAGCTCGAAGTGTTTGCACCTCTTGATGGGCAGCAGCCGCTTCACCTTGCACTTGGTGCACTCCAACTTCAACACTATCTTCTTGGTCGTCTTGGCCTGGTGAGATGACGCACATACACACACAGGGACGCACAGACAGACATGTGTGGAGCCGCCCTCGCTCTCACTCCCCCCATCAATGGCTGGCTATGTGTGTGGGTGTGTGTTGCGTGCCTGCCATATGGCATCCCTCCCTACCTTTTTGTGGAAGATGGGTTTGGTTTGTCCTCCGAAGCCGGCCTGCTTCATGTCGTACCGACGCTTACCCTGGGCAAACCGAGACTCCTTGCCTGACACACAGACAGACAGACAGACAGACAGGACACATCAGTCAGTCAGTCACACACAGAGGTCCGCCTTCGTGTGTGGTGTGGTGTGGTGTGGTCGCTCTGTGTGCTGTGTGTGTAGCGTATTACTCACCCTTTTTGTACTGCGACACCTTGTGCGGCGTGTGCTTATTGCACTTGGGGTGCTTACAAAAAGTGTTGCGCGTCTTCGGAATGTTCACCTGGGGACACAACACAACACAACACATCACACATCACACACGACACAACCGCAGCGCCGTACATGTGACAGACTCCCAGAGCGAGAACACACCCACATCCACGACCGCCCGCCTCTCTGTGTCTGTCTGTCGGTGTGCGCCGCTGGATCTGCCTCGCTGCCTCTCCCCCTGTTCCCTCCCTCCCTCCCCCTGCCTCCTGTCCTGCCTCCACCAGACACCTGCCTCCCTCCACCGCCCTCGCTGCGTTTCGATCTTGGTTTCTCCTGATCTTTGTGTGAGCTGTCCAAAGCTTACCATGGCTTCACGATGGCGAAGGAACGCGCACCACTGACAAGGATGCGAGCTAGACATATTCGCCAGCTAAGCTCGCAGGCCTAGTTTGAAAACCGCTGCGGGTGTCGAGCCGCAGAGTGCAAAGATGGCGGACATCACGGGGGAAGAGTCTATTGAAGTGCTCGAGGTGAATCTATACAGGACGCCAAAGATCCATTTCCCAAGGCATCATCCTCTGTGTGTGTGTGTGTGTGTGTTGGTGCAGGCGAAGCTTGCCGAGTACCGCCAGAACCTTGCGCCAATCGAGCTAGCACTGGAACAGCAGCCCGGCGACCAGGTATGTCATGCAGCGAGAGGAGAATGTCGTCACCATCTGAGTGGCTTGATTGGTTATCTTGTTTTGCAGGCCCTGACAAAGCTCCGCAGTGATCTGCTGGAGGTCATCGGTCTCACAGAAGACCTCCTACGCCTAAGACAGCAGCAGGAGCAGGCCCTGCAGCAGCCACCGCCACAACAGCATGTGGCCGCACAGCTGCCGCCAGAGGCAGCAGAGACCGCCGCTGCTGCCGGTGCCGTCGGTGAGGGAGGGGAGAAGCCGTCTGGCTACGAGTACCCTGACGATGAGGAGCAGGGCGCAGAGGCTGAGGGGAGGGATGAGGAGGGGGATGGGTTTGGTGAGAGTGCAGAGGTTCTTGAGCGTGTGTCGCCCTACCTCCGGTATCTGGGGCGGAGCTGCGAGGCCAACTACGAGGGCACATGGTTCAACGGCGAGATCGTCGATGTCAGGGTGAGTGGAGTGAGTGCACTGATGGGCCAGTGCGGTGTGTGGGTCTGGCAATTAGCTAGTGGGCAGGGCAGCCGTTGTGTGTGTCAAAGTGTCGCTTGTGTGTCACGTGTGTCAGCCTGACGACACTTTGGTGGTGGAGTTCACGGGTTACAAGAACAGGGAGGAGTATGCGCCGCAGTCGGGCAAGGTGCGCATCCTCAAGCCCCCACACCCATCGCTCCTGCAGCCCGGCGCAGCCTGCCAGGCCATCTACGACGAAGACGGGTACGCAATGAGTGCTGGGTTAACTCTGCTGCTTTCGTCCTCCCTCCCATTGTCTCTCTGTGTGTGTGGTCCTTCCTCCCTCCCTCCCTCCCTCCTTGGTGTGTTGTGTCAAACAAACCAGTTTGTGGTACGACTGCACGATAGATGAGCAGACCGAGTTGGGGTACAAGGTCACCTTCACCGAATACGGCAACCAAGAACACGTCAAGGCCGACCAGGTGTGTACTGTAACCAACACACGGCCGTGGCCCGCACACACACACACACACACACATTCGCAGCTGTCTCTTCTCCTCTCCCTCTGTGTGTGTCAGGTGCGTCTGGCGGGGACGGGCGGTGGCGCGCAAGCTGGCGGCAAGAGGGGCAAGGACGGCCGTGGTGGTGACAAGAGGCGGGTCAAGGAGATACTCACCCCAGGCGGCTACCGCATACCCGAACACCTCACCATCAAACCCACTGGTTAGCCAAGCGAATGAACCACCGGTCATGGGACCGAACACGCCGTGCATCATATCGCTTGTGTCTGTGTCTGTGTGTGTGTGTGTGTTGTTGTGTCGCAGACACAGAGGATCAGAAGAAGTCCAAGAAGAAGAGGATGCACTCCATCAAGGCAAAACAGAAGCAGGTGCGTGGCATGTGAGGTGTTGGGTGGGTGTGGTGATGAATGATATCGACAAGCTGGGCTATGTCCAAGCCAGCCGCGCCAGCCACACCACACGAGCTGCATGTCGTTCGGGCGTGGAATGGTGTCTGTCGTGTGGCTGTGGCTGTGGCTGTGGCTGCAGGAGAAGGAGGAGGAGGAAGCCAACAAGAAGAAATCCAGCTGGCAGAAACACTTCAACAAGGTCAGTCGGTTAGGCAGAGAGACGAACAGACGGACCAGACCGATCGGATCGCGGGCAGAAACTCACCCTGCTCTCCGTCCGTGTGCTGCTTGCTTTAGTCCGGTGCCCGCGCTCGTGTGGGCTTCATGTCCGGCAAGCCAAGAGACTCACAGTTTAGGACAGCCGACGACGACACACTGGCAGACCTACCAGGTACCAGGTCAGGTGTGTGTGTGGCCAGGCAGCCAGGCAGACAGAGACAGGAGATGGGTGCGTGTGGGTGTTATGGTCCTCTTCATTCTGTGTGTCTGGTATGGTTGTTGCCCACAGGTCCTTCTGGTGGCGGTGGTGCGTCGGCTCCCCAGAGGCGGCATTTCACTCAGCAAGGCTGAGGAAGAAACGAAGGAAGGATGCGAGCGATTCAACGACTCCACGGCGGTGGTGTGTTTTGTGGAGCGGACGAATCTGTGTGGGTGCAGACAGACAGACAGACCAACAGACAGACAGACGAGTGCGTGTGTGTGTGTGTGAACCCTACGGACGACAGATAGATGCGACAGTAAGTCACTTAAGTGGATTGGTCTCACTCACACGCAAAGCACTCAACGGGTCAGTCAGTCAGTCGGGCAGGCGGGCAGAAAGATCTAGGTACCAAATGTGCCCGCTACCCTGGGTGTGTCGGCCAGAAACCAACACCCACACCCACACACACACATTCACATACACACATGAGCACACGACACACGAGCTGGAGAGCGAGACTTGACGAGAGCTGGGAGGAGTGGACAGAAAGAGGGAGACGCACGCCACGCACCGTTGGCGGTCAGGCACACGACGAATGAGGCGATTAAGTGGGTGGCCGAGTGTCTGATGGCTGTGTGTGTGTGTGAGCGCGACGCAAGTCCGTCCACAAGATGCATCATGGGTGCCGGCCAGCAGTAATGCATTTGTTGTGTCGCGTCAGCGCCCATCAGTACCTCCACCCTGGCTTGGTGTCTCGCCTTCCCTTGACGCAAAAAGAGAGAGAGAGAAAGAGGCAGACAGCCACACACCAACGGAGATAGACAGACAGACAGACCAACACACACACACACACATCAGCGTGAAAGCGCGTTCATATAATGTGCGCTGACTGAAACTATGCACCACATCATGCACCCCACGCACGCCCACTCAGACACTGACTGCCTACATCCATCTCGTCTTATACCTACCGGACGCAGGACACAGCGCCCATCCATCCATCCATCCATCGCCACACCGACACTTACACCAACAACAGCATCATATACACTGCACTGCACCAAAACACACCGACACACGAACAAACAGGGTCCAGACCAGACACACCACCAAGGTACCCGGTAGGTATAGGTAGGCGGCAAGGACCCTTAAGTACTTATCATTCGCTCTCTCTGCGTCGGTACGGGAAGAGACGCCGGCATGGCATCCACACAAACAGTCCGTCAAAACCTGCATCGCATCGAGTACACCTGGCATGGATGTGTGTGAAGTCTTGACCAGACAGACAGACAGCCAGACAGACAGACAATTAGTTAGGGTAATGGGTAACCTCGCCTCGCCACGCCTCGCCACGCCGGCCGCTATCTACCGTGTGTGTGTAGTATGTACTGTACGGCGGTAGACAGACAGAGGAGTGGGGGCAGAGGAGTGGGGGCAGAGGAGAGGGGTGGACTTTGATATATATGGGTGATGACACACACACACAGACACAGAGACACAGAGAGGGGCGAAGAGTCAGACTGACAAATAGAAAATTGGGCGTCAGTGTGGCTACGATACATGCATACATCCGGTAGGTACAACCAACCCCTGTTAGTCTGACTGTGAGCTGTTGTGCGTGCGTGCGGGCCGACATGCCACTCGTCTGAGAGAGGGATATGAATGAGAGAGAGAGAGAGAGAGAGAGGGAGGTAGGGAACCAAAAACGGATCGACACTCGTGGGCCGGGCCTAGGCCCTTTTGCTGCGCGTGCACACATCCATCCATCCATCGATCTGTCACTATAAAATGTCCCGTGACGCTGGGTTGCTACGTGGCTAGGTGGCTAGTAGGCGGGCGTGTCCGGTGAAAATGGTGTCAAATAGACCACTGACAATCAAACAACCTGATCTGAGAGGGCGAGAGGGAGAGTAAATCATATAGGGCAAGATAGAGGAGATTTAAATAACACCAGTGAGTGCCGTGCCACCCCACCAGCCGAGACACGCATGGCCGGCATGAACATCTGGATGAGATCAAAGGATAGATCCGATCGATGGGATGGGTGGGTTGGATGCAGACACACCAACACAACCACAACCACACACACTTCTGTGACTGCCGCACCGCACCGCACGCCCTCTCACGCACTCTCCACGCCACTCACTCCACGCTCCACTGCATTGCACTCCCTCCCACACACAACACGACACCGCGACCGTCGCCCACACTTCACTCACACACGCATCGATCCATCCATCATCCACACGTGAGGCTTAAATAAAACCAGCAAACACGGACACCGACACAGGTACCGTATCCACACGCCCCACCCCAACCCGCCCCTATCGACAAAGTCCGGAACGGACCACACCACACCACACCACAGAGACGGACAGGCATGACGACATGAATCAACATGATCGCATCGCTCAGAGGACCTTGTCTTGCCTCTCGACCGACGGGCTGATAGGATGCCCCCCAACGCCCCCGCCCGGCGGGACCCCTGTGGCTGTCATCGGTTTCTTGTCCATTTCCGCGTCCCTTGCCACCGCCCCCAGGATGCTCTGCTTGGGCGTCGGGCCCTCCCGCGACGGCTGCCGCCGCCTGCTCCTGTTGCTGCAACTGCCGCTCCCACTCACGCCATCTGTGTGCCGTCGAGACCGCGGGGTCCTGCTAGGCGTTCTGGCGGCGGCGGGTGTCCGTGTGGGGGTCCGGCTGTGGGACCGGGTTGTGTGCCGGGTGCCATCGCTGGAGATGACGATCTTGTGGATCTTCCGGGGGTGGTCGGTGTTGACGAGCTTCATCCGTCGCTTGCACCGGACCGTCAGCACCAGCCACACGGCGGCCGTCATGAACATGACCACGCCGAAGACGAGCAGGATGATGAGCCAGAGGTAGGTTGCCCGGGGAATGTCAGATGAGGAGAAGGCAGGTGGGACGATCTTGCCGTTGGGTGAGATGGTGAGTGAGGGGGGGTAGTGGGGGTCGACGGCGAAGGCCCGCCGGGTGTGGGAGTAGGGGTCCCTCAGGATGGCCTTCCACTGATCCACCAAAGACACTGTGCTCGACTCCGTCAACCTGATCCGTTGACAGGATAGGCCAGATTATTATTGTCCGCATTTGTGTGTGTGTGTGCGTGTGTGTGTGTGTGTGTTGGTGTGGTGGCTGACTCGAAAAGTGCGACGATGGATCCCGAGAGTAGCTGCCGTATGTGGACGTCATCGGAGGCCACGTGCAGGTCTGCAGCGATGGCCGCCTTGAGCTTCCCTACCAACGCCTGAAGCTTCGACACACTCTGCACAATCACAATCACACACACACGAGACATCTACCGATCGATCCACTGTTCTGTTCCCACACCGCAGCGTACCATCATGACGGCGTCATAGTTTTGGTGCAGCAGCTTGACGGCCAGCAGTGGCCCCGTGCGGCCCTTGAGCTCCTCCAGCCCGCTCTTGCCCCGGATCTCCCGCTTCTCGCACACAAACCGCCGATGAGACTCGCACTGTCTCGCACCCCAACCGCCATTAGGCTTGCCGTCGGCGTCTTGCGGCTGCATTACACGCAGGCAGAGAGACACGTGTGTGTGTTGAATGTGTGTGTGTTGGTGTGTTGGTGGTCTGGTCTGTTTGGGAGCGTGTGTGGCGTGCCTACGTAGAAGAAAGCGCATTCCTTCTCCTTTGGCTCGGTGTCGGGGTTGATCTTTGCGAGTTTCCTGTACTTCAGCTCAGGGTGGCCGCGGTTGCCGCCCCAGTGGGTGTACTTCCATGTCGTGCCGTCAGACCACGACCAGCACGACGCACCCTCACACTGCATCGCATCAAGGACCAAACACGAGACACAGGTGATGAGATTGATTGGGGTGGAAACGGATTGACGAGCAATGTGTGTGTGTGTGCTGCTAACGCTTGCGGGGTCGTTTTTGGCTCCGATGTAGTATTCCCCGTCATGCCGGGCGCCGCGGGGCAGCAGACAGCTCGACGCCTTCTCATCCGAGCAGAACAGCTGCAGGAACGCTGAGTCCTCATCCTGCACACACCACATCACCACATCCAGTTGATTGACACAAATGAATGCCGGGAGGCGTGGCGTGGCGTGGCGTGTTGTGATGTGATGTGTCCTGTCCTCTAACACTGACTGACCGCATTTCCGATAGACGCGAGGTGTCCGCCCTCGTCCATGCAGACGTGCTCTGCCTCGTCCCAGCTGAGCCGCTCCAGATGCACCTTGTAGCAGCCACCACGGTCGCCGCCACGGTAGTATCCCTCCGGACACCCGTCGCCAACCACACCACCGTCCTCGCGCATCCTCGGGTCGCTGTCAAAGTCCGATTGCCGCGATGGGCACGGTGCGGGGCCGGACATGTAAGTGACCACGGACTGAGTGAACAGCGGCGCGTGTCGTTGCGTGAGGGCGTTCTGCGACTTGAGAGTGCATGTGGGCGGCTGGAAGGTGGTCTGTCTGCAGGCCGGGTCGGTCTCGCAGATGATGTTGCACTCCGACTGGCTGGAAGCGCCGATGAGGTGGAGAGTGGAGAGGCCGCTCTTGGCGTCTTCCTCGGGGCGGCCGATGAGCTGGCAGGCGGGCTGCATCCAGGTGAAGAAGCGGCACGCCTCCTCATTCTTGCACGCCTCCCGGCACTCGTCAACGGACCGCTCCTGCGCCTTGGCGTCGCTCCGGTCGAGGTGCTGCAGCTTGATGGTCTTGATGGCAGAACCATCACCCACACCATACTCGTATCCTGTGTCGGTGCAGCTCATGTCTGTCTCGCAGCGAGAGAGAAAGAAAGAACAAACAACGCACCACACTTTTATGTGTTGTTTGAGCGGCGGCGGGCTGGTTTGGTGTCTGTCTTACCGCAGCTCCTGGGGGCGCTGATGAGCCGCTCGTCGGTGCGGATGCGCCCCACCTCCCAGCCCTTCAGGTGGCACGCGCCCTTGTCCGGCTCGAACACCACATAATGGCAGCCAATGACGTCCCCACATATGTCCTGACAATCCGCCAAACTCTTGACGCCATCGCCCCTGCCACCTGCAATGGTCTTGCTATCGAGGTCGACCCGCGGCCACGCGCACTTGACCTCGTCCGTGGCCGGCTCGCCGATCTCCGCCGGCTCGGCAATGTCGATCTCCTTCTGCATGCTCTTGGCGTCGTACTTGGGGTGGGCCTCGCAGACGTATCGGCGTGTGACGCGGACGATCTTGCCGTGCTTATTGTCGGGTGTGAGGCAGGAGGGCAGGTTGATCCACTTGTCGACATGGGATGGAGAGGGGAAGTGGGCCGGCTGCGGCACACACGCCCTGTGGCAGGCCAGGGTGCCGTAGCTGCCGACCAAGGCACCCGTCGAGGGGTCTTGCGGCTGCACACACATCACACACACAGACACAGAGAGAGAATGAGGACATACCCAAACACCACACCCCACTCACAGACGGAAATACCGCGATGAATCCGCATTCGCCTGACAGGTCGTCACCGAGGTTCTTGCCCCATATCAGCTTGTGGTCGCCCGCCTTTTTGCCCTTCTCGGCAATGTCGTCGAGCCAGTGCCAGCCGTTGGACGTCATCTTGAGACCGACGAACACCTGCGAGTCGTGGTGGCCCTCCTGCGGCACCCAGCAGTGGGGCGACGTGGTGGTCGACGAGTTGCCGCCGCTGCTGCTGCAGAACAGACCCATGATCGCCTTGTGCTCGGCCTGAATGCATGACACAGATGGATGGATGGATGGATGGATGGGAAGAGAGACGTGGCGCATTTCGTTGTCTCTGTTCCTTCCGACCTCGTCATTAATGGTGGCCAGATGACCGAACTCCTGCTCGCAGATGCCCTCGGCCTCCTTCCACGAAGCCCGCTCGAAGGACAGCCGGTAGCACACCCCATTCGACCCCATCTGGTAGCCGTCAGGGCACTTGCCGCCCCCTTGCACCTGCACATGCGCCAAGGCAGCCGTGCTGTTGCGGGATGGGCAGGGGGCCGGCCCCACTGCCGATGGCACGATGCTCTCGTGGTAGTAGGGGTGGATTGGGGTGAAGAGAGCCGACTTGTCGCTGGAGTAGGTGCATGACGGGGGGTGGTACTCGCCGCCCGCCGTGCACTGGGGGTCGTCCATGCAGAGAGTGTTGCACGTGGCCGCGTCGAGGGCCGCCATCTCAAAGATGGGCGACGGGGATGAGGAGTTCTGATCGATAGACAGACCATCATGCCACACGGACAGACATGAATGACATCAGTACTCGGCCGTCTGTCTGTCTGTCCACTCACTCACTCACTCACTCACTCACCGTCATAAGCTGCTGCAGGAGGCACCTGCTGCCCCGCCAGAGGTACTTCTCGCAGCCCTTGATCTGCTTGCATCGGGTGGCGCACACAGACGGGCTGTGGGCCGGCTCCGTCTTGATGATGTCGTCCCCGCCCAAAGGCAGCGTGAAGCCCTGCGCACTGCAGCTCATCTCTGCAACCAACAACAAAAACACCAAGACAATACAATAGCGTAGGTGGGGGCGCGTGGGGCCTTGGTGGGTCTTTCTCACCCTCACTCACTCACCGCAGCTCCTTGGCGCGTGCACAAGGTCGGTCCGTTCTTTCTTCTTGTTGCTGCCGGTGGTGGTGTCAGCGGGCACAGCGTCCCACCCCTTGAGGTAGCACCCCCCCCACTGCCGCCCGAACACGACATAGAAGCAGTCGGCCGTCTGGTCACACATCTTCTGGCACTCGGCGATCGACTCCACCCCGCTGGCCAGCCCGCCCACATCGCTGCCGTCCATGTCGCCGTCAGAGCAGCAGGGGCACGTAGTGTTGGTGACGGGTTTCTTCTTGCCCTCCTTAGGTTTCTTCTCGTGCGGCGGCGGTTTGAAGGATGGATCGTACTCACAGATGTACCTGCGGGTGACGCGTTTGGGGCGGAAGTCTGCTGTGGCGGATGTGTGGCACTCGATGGAGCCCCAGCCGCCGTTGATCTTGCCTGTCGAGTAATCTTGCGGCTGCAGCCGGGCAACAAAGGCGCACAGCACAGGGGAACATTGGCCGAAATCTTTCTTCTGGTCTTGTGTGTTCTGTGCTGCTTGGTGCGTACGTAGATGTATGCGCATTTCTTGCCCTTGTCGTCTGCAGGCATCTTGAGGGCCACACCCTGGCCGTAGTCGAGCAGCGGCGTCTTGCGCTTCCCCGCCCAGTTGCTGAAGGTCACCTTCTCGCCGTCAATCCACCGCCACTTACCCTGCACAAACCATCCACCGTCACAGCTTGCTCACATCCCCCCCTGCCCCGTCAATGTATCCCACCCACCTTGTTGGTCCTTCTGAGTCCGATGAAGTAGTCGCCGTCGTGCAAGCCGTCCCTGGGGACGAGGCACATGCCGTCGTCGAGACAGAAGAGCTCCAGGATGCTCGCCTGGTCCTCGGCAGTTGTGGGAGTGGCCAGGTGCGCCTTCTCGCCCTCACAGATGGCCTCCGCCTCCTCCCACGTGGCACGCTCGAAGCTCAGACGATAGCAGACGCCGTTGGTGCCGCGGATATACCCATCTGGGCACTTGTCGGGTGTGTTGGTGTTCCTCTTGCGTTGGGCCACGGTGAGGTTCTGCATGCCCGCAGCCACGAGGTCGTTGATGAGGTCCTTGCTGGCGCGGGAGGGGCATGCGGCAGGGCCGGAGACGTAGGGCACGAAGGCGTCGTGGTAGTAGCCGTAGACGGGCACCTTGACGACGGGCTTGTTCTCCTCGTGTGGCATGAGCATGCACTGGGCCTCCAGTATACGGCTGCTGTGGCAGCTCGTGTCGTCCTTGCACACCGACTCGCACTCCTTCTTGGCGGCCTTGAGCGACTTGTCCCCCTTGTCGGGTGTGCCCTTGATGATGTGCAGGGGGGTTTTGTCGTCCTCCTTGCCGAACAGGTGGCACTGCGGCCCCCGCCAAGTGAAGATGGAGCACTCTGCCGTGTCCTCGCAGGCCATGGCACAGGTGTCGGGTGACTTGTGCGCGTCTGAGGGGGTGTCCATCAGGCCGAGCGTGTCGTTGCTGTGGTAGATGAAGCCCTCCTCGACACAATCCAGGTCTGACCACAACAGAAAGACGACAGAAGAAAGACAGACACCGATGTGCTGGTTTGACGATTTGTTTGTGCGCTGTCTCCTCGCTCGCTCACCGCAGCTTCTGGGTCCTGCAATGAGGCCAGTTGTTTTTTTGTCCAGCTCGACCTCCCAACCCTTGAGGTAGCACCCGCCCCACTGCTCGCCATAGACGACGTTGAAGCACTGCTTGTTCTCCTGACACAGCGCCTGGCACTCGGAAGCCGTCTTGACGCCCTTGGCTTTGCCACCCACATCCAGACCCTTGTAGTCGGCAGGCATGCTGTAACACGATATCTCTGCACGCAATTCGCACACACAGATCAATGGGGCCATGCCATGTGGCCATGTGTGTCCGCCTGTGTGGGCGGGGCGACCTTCTGGCGGTGGGGTGGTCGCCGGGTAGCCGCACGCAATTTTGACACCGCCCTGAAAATGGGGGCTCTCGTCGCTGACGTTCTTGGGGACGGAGGGGAAGCCCTTCATCTGGCAGTTGTGGCTTTTGGGGTGGTACACGTAGCCCCCACACAATGTGGTCTCCAGGCACGTGTCGGCGCAGGCCTTGCGCGACTTGGCCTTGAGGTTCTCGAGCTGGTAGTACTGGTTGACGTCCGTGCCATCCTCAAGCTCCTCAATGCACCACTCAACTGATGACGGACGAGGCACAAAGGACAGCACATGTAGTAGTGTGTCTCTCCTTCGATGTGTGTGTGGTCACTCTGTTGGCTCTTTACCGCAGTATTTTGGCCCGGTGGTGGCGCCCTCAGCGATCTTGACGCTGTCCTGTGTGCGGTTCCATTTGAGTTCGCAGCCGTAGCCCTCTGTGAAGGTGAAGTGGCGACACCGCCACTCGGCCTGGCACGCCGCCTGGCACGCGTCGGAGGTGTTGGCCTTCTCGAACAGCGGCACCGTGATTTTGTCGAGCTCCTCTATCCCCAGAGTGAAGTCGTTGATGGCCGTGTCTAGCTCCCAACACGAATTGTCTATCGACTCTGAGGCAAGGCAGCAAGGATGGATATCAGACAGACAGACAGAATGATCGACCGCAGAGGAGTGCGGGGCGGCCTGGGGGCTCACTCACCGTAGGGCGGGTACTCGGCCGTAAGATTCTTCCGGTCGACCACGACATGCAGGGTGCCGTTCTTGGCGGTCACCTGGCTCTTCTCGTACTGGACGCGGTTGAAGTCGAAAGTGTATTCGCCGATGCCCCACCTGCCGCCCTTGCTGTACTCCTTGAACTCATCAAAGGTGTCGGACCAGCGAGGCGTGAAGTCATCGGTCTTGTTATCGTAGTCCCACACCTTGACGTAATCGAACTGGGCGGTGAGGGGCAGACAGTCGGGGTCGAAGACGCCCGCCCACATCTCGATACGAGGGTTGACCACCCATGCGTTGATGTGTAGCGTCATGGACTCGTTCATTTTCTTCATCGAGTCGGGGTCGGTGTCCTCCCGCACCAGCTCATCGTCAAAGAACCACGCGATGCGCGTCGGCGTCCACTCCATCGTGTAGGTGTGGAACTCCGTGTCAAGCCGGGTGTCGGTCACGTGCTTGGCCTCCTTGAGCTCACGGCCGGGCGTGATGCCCGTGATCAGGTTGGACTGGAACGTGTTGGGCACGCCGCTCTCCGTCCCCTCCTCCCACAGGTGGGCCGTCGACCCGAATATCTCGATATCGAGCTCCTGCCACTGGCTGCCGGGCTTGTCAGAGTTGGGCTTATAGAGAAAGAAGGTCACAATCGCCCCGCTGCACTGGAAGGCCTTGATGCGCGCCTCGAACTTGCCGTAGAGGAACAGCTCGTCAGTCGCATTGATGACGGGGAAGATGTCGCCGCCCAGGTGGATCTTCTCGCACTTGCCGCTCTTCGGCGAGAACGCGTACTCGCCGTAGCCCTCGTCGTATGGACATATCTCAAGCCGCTGCGCACGCACCGACAGGGGAAGGGACGACAAAAGGACGATCAGCAGCACCGCAAGGACCCAGCTGAAAGAGCTGAGAGAGGGAAGGCGGAGGGGGAGGGAGGCGGTAGGGGGGTGCCGCCGTCTGGTGGTGGTGGTGCTGCTGCTGCTGGTTGTGGCGGGCTGTGTCTGGGCGGGAGGGGGGTCGCCGGCTGTCGGTTGCTGTCTTGTGTCGTCTTGTATGAGCATTGCGATAGTCTGCAGACAGTTGTGTTCGATGGGTGCGATGTGCAGTCGTCAGTCAGTCCAGGAGGAAGGAAATCAATTCTGAGTATAAATTGCTGCAGGGCTGTAGCAGGCAGCTGTCAGAATATATAAAGAGAGAGATAGACAGGCTAGGCAAGGCAAGGCAAGGCAGTCGGGTCGGGAGGCAGGGTGCGCTGCGGTGCGGGGCAGGCTTACAAAAGACGGAAAGCGGAGAGATAGACAAGTACACACGGCCAAACACTTCTTGGCTGGCTCACAGGGTGGCGCTGCCGACCGCTGGCGCCCTGCCTCCGCTTCGCTGTCCCTCGCTTTCGTGTGCGCGCCCGCGCGCCGTCCAGCCGTTTCTAACGGTTTGTAAATCCGTGTGGGGACGTTTTTTGTCAGTGACTCCATCTCAGCATTGAATGCGGTCAGTGTGATGATCCTTCAGTAGCGTTCCTGCCTCTCGGCGATGCACAGCTGCTCTCATCCCGACCAATGAAAGCCGATAGACATCGCCGAGAGGCATGGAAGTTATAACAGCAGGGCAACGGCGAGTCATCAAACCGACACCATCAGTAAGCGACAACACGGTGAGCATTCTCTGTCCTCCCTGTTGCATATCTTGTACACATTCATTCACAGGTGAGAAAATGCTGGGGTACGGCATGTACCATTGGAGATTTGCCGATGACCTCGTGAGGGGCGAATCTCCAGCAGTCTCACGCCATCACCAGGCACCTTCCACCCATGAATACACCAGGATGAGGTCACGGCAGATCCTCGCGGCAGACACAACACAGCACGCATCATTGCCCGACAACCAATGCGGCATATATCATAGAAAGAGAGAGTGGACACGACACCACCGAAGCCACAGCTGAGCGAGTCAGGCACAGCACAGACAGTGCTGCAGCTGTCATGCAGAAAGCAAGTCCGTCCGTCTCAGCAATTAACCAAATGTAGACCCCCAACTGTACATCACACAGCGACGAGCCATCTCATCTTCAGTCTTCAACCAGGCACTCAAATCAAATCATCATCGCCAGTCAATCATTCCTCGGGCGGCTGTCCTCCCGGCACCAGCATCGTGATGTTGTTGCCGTTGAGCAGGATGGAGTCCAGCTGCGTCGTCTGCTTGCCCTCACTCGTGAAGGTGTACTCGGTGACGTCATCGAGGACCATGTTGACGAAGTCGTCGAAGCCTCTCAGCGTCCCCACCAGCTCCTTGTCGCCCTTCATGATGATCCAGATCTTGCTCCCGATGCACTTGTCGATGAGAGCAAGCGGCAAATACGAAGGAGTCGCCTGAGCAGCGACAGCTCCTGAGCTTGAGGTTGCCATTGTCGTCCAGCAGGGATGCCTCTGCGACCAAGTCGGCTCTTCAAGCCACCAAAGCCGCTTTTCCTCTTTCTTCGGGGTTAAGCTCGCAAACAGTGCTGATCGCCTAGCTCGCAGGCAAAATCGGCAATGATGACTTCAGTAGAAGCAAAGCCAAGCTGGCTGGCAAGACTGGGCCGTGGAATATTCAATTTCTGCGACAATCACTTCTTACCTGTCGGTCTCGTTGTGTTTGTGGTGTTTGGAGCACTGGTAAGGGATGAGCGGGCAGCACAGATGACACAGAGGATGGCTGCATTCCCAGTGACGTGTTTGTCGTGTGATCAGGTCCCTCTGCCTGGCGAATGGCTGGCAGGTGTGGACTCCCCTGTGCCGTCGGGCTTGGTCTCCCGGATCTGCGTGTGCATCATCTTCGTCCTCTCCGGCCTCAAGCTGCAGTTCGCTGAAGTGAAAGAGGGCCTCAAGTGCTGGCAGGGAGCCCTCTATGGCGTCTTCTCCATTATTGTCATCACTCCGCTGGCAGGCTTCGCCCTGGTGTTTGTGCCGCTGGTGCCAATGGAGCTATCCCTCGGCTTGGCGCTGTTCGCTCTGATGCCCATGACGCTCACGAGTGGTGTCATATTGACGAAGCAAGCGGAGGGCAACCAGCCACTGGCGTTGCTCTTCACTGTTGTGACCAACTTCTTGGCCATCTTCACGCTGCCCGTCAGCGTCCCGCTGCTAGTCGATGTGTCACAAGGCGGCGCGGAAGAGGGCGAGAGCATTACGGTGCGGATTGACGGGGTGCAGATGCTGCTCAACCTGACGTACTCGATCCTTGTCCCGCTGGTCGTGGGCAAACTGCTGTCGTTGTGGAAGCCCATACTGGCCTTCGCCAACAGGCACAAGAAGCTCATGAAGCACTCGTCGGCATTCTTTCTTATTGTCATCGTCTGGATGAGCGTCTCGAAGGCGGTCGATCAGGTCAGTCAGTCACCAGAGGACACTGCACACAGACATCAACACGCCAGACAAGCGTGATGGCTTGTTGCTGTGTGTCGTCCGTGCAGATTGCCGATTTACATGTGGAGATGGTCATTGCGACGGCTGCCCTTGGTGTGGGCCTCCATTTGGTCTACCTCGCTATCAACGCATCAGCATCTCTCCTCCTGCGGCTGCCCACACGTGAGAAACGCACCGACCTCTGCACACAGCCGGCTCAATCATGGTCCGTGTGTGTTGACTGCAGCGATCAGCAAGGCAGTGGTCGTGTGCGCGTCGCAGAAGACACTCCCCGTGTGCGTGACCGTCATCGAATTCCTCCCGGCTGCCCTCGGCGCACGGGTGAGACAAGACCACTGGTCAAATCATCACCGGATCCGAATCACCTTCTGCTGCTTCGTCTTGTCCTTTCCTTTGCTGCAGGGTGTGATGGTTATCGGGGCGATTTTGGGTCACTTCACGCAGATTCTCATTGACGCGTTCCTCGCCTCATGGTGGGCACAGCGGAGCCGTAAGCAGAAGGCGGCCGTACCAAACGCACAGCAGCAGCAGCAGCAGCAATCGGGCCTCAAAGACACAGACACACAAACAGGTACGTCCGTCAACACGGCGAACATGGTGGCCGACATGAATGGGGGGGTTGTGTTGGTGTCCGTCCATCAGATGACGTCATTGTGACACCGGTGGCCAAGGGCACCACCATGGCTACCGACGAGACGACCGAGACAGAGGACAGCCGCTGTCCACTGGAGCCCAAACGGAGCAATGACTCGCTGGTAAGCCTCCACATCCCCATCGAGGAGAGCGTCATGGGCGTGCCGGGCTCCGATCCCTTCGGCTATGTGGGGTCGCCGCGGGCCGAACGTCCATCATCCGACGCGAGTAGAGGGGTAGAGAGGTCCCTGGACCACATGTCGAATTGGATATCCCAGAGCGAGCTGGGGCTTTCCTGGCGGATGCACTGATGGGATGGGTGGTGATGGGTGGCAATGGGTGGTGCGTGTGTTCATGCTGCTATCGATTCGATGAGTGCATACAATTGACGCGGCAACAGTGTGCGCCTCACGGGTGCTGTGCTGTTGCTGGCGGTCCGTGCGTCGCGCTTTATAGCTAGGTCCTCCCTCCCTGAGTGCACTCGTGCATGCAGATGCATACCCACTATATCATGCATTTCGACCCGTCTGAGTGTGTGCCCCCCCATCCTCCCCTCTGCCTCTTTTTGGTGTCTCTGCATTGGCGCCGCTTTTGCCTTTTGGATGCGGGTGCAGACTCCTCCCTCTTTGTTTGTTGCGGCGTGATCGAATCCATGAGCTGTGCGTGTTGCGTGTTCGCGTGTGTGCGTGTTAGTGAGCTTTTTCATCCGACGTAGTGTACAGGGGCCGGGGGGCAAATGGGCGACATATGGATGGATGAATGCGAACGCATACAGCCAGTCCGCACAAAGAAAGAAAAACGGAGAGGGAGGGAGAGGTGTATCTATCTATCCGTGGGCACACATGAATGATACATACCATCTGTGTAAAAGGCACAGCCTCCCTCCCCTGTCCTCTGCCATTTTTGACTGGGGAGGGAGGGAGGGAGGGAGGGAGGGAGGGGCGGACGGACGTACAGTGTCTATTAGTCGCTTTGTACGGAGGGACGGCGAAAGGGGTTTGGGTGGCCAGGGACGCTTTTGTCGCGCAGTCTTGAATGGATGGACGGATGAACATTTGGCAATGCTGTGATCGTGACAGATCGAGCGGTTGGCTCAGTCATTCCTCACGACACGTGACGGATGTTGGCCGTCATGGGCCTGACGTCCGTGCCGTTGAGTGAGGGTGGCGTGCCGGCTGTCGACTCGTGTGCGTGTGTGTTGGTTGTCAGTGTGAGTGGAATGTGTGAGTGACCGACCACCTGACGTGTGATTTGCATTGCGGGACACTCACAGATGTGTATGTGCGACACGTTCTTCCATGTCAGCGGAATGCATCAGCATCTGGCTGCTGATTGAGTGGGGTGGGCTCTGCACGCTGAGCCTTGAAAGGGAAGGCGACCGTCTCATTCGCACATCGGTCCATCCATGTGTGTGTCCATTCATTCCCTCGCCCGCCCCCTCTGTGCGCATCTCTGTCGCCGCCCGGCAACCCTAAAGCACCAACACCCTTCATGGCCTGATGCTCTGGAAGTGCCCGTCCAGAACACAGATGCCCACAGAGAGAGAGGGGGGGACACACACGAGGAAAACCAACACATGGTACCAGATACAAGACATGATAGAGAGGTCAGTGTCTCTCTCATCCACTCGACAGGCGGAGAGCTTTCCGTGGCGCTGGGTGGCTTTGTGAGCGTCTGTCCAGCTCTCTGGGTGGAAACTTCAGCCACCTTGCCGGCCGAAGCGCCAGCTCTTCGCCGCACCTTGTCGGGCGGTGCCGACACAAAACAGTGGCGAAGACTCTCTCTCTCTCTCTCTCTCAGGCAGATCAGTGTGTGTGTGTGTGTCGAGCTGTCTGTCTGTCTGCCGGCCGTGTGTGACGGATGCATCGACGAGAGATCAACACACTCTCGCGAACAGCCGTCACGCGCACACCGATGAACAGACAGACGGCCACCGCCACCCCACACAGCGATTCCTTTGTGCAGCCAGCCAGCCACTCATCCCTCTCTGTCTGTCTGTCTGTCATCTCTCCCCCGCCCCCCACTCACTAGCCGACACACTCATGGCAGCAGACGGCTGACGAGTGGAGGGCTGATGTGATATGACAATGGCAGCCAGACCGACCGACACACAAAGCTCCATAACACAATACACTCTCATAAACACGACAGCCGTCAGTCCATCGATGCCGTCCACGCGGCAGAGAGATAGACAGTCAGTTCACTCACATCAGCTCGTCGACTCATCGGCCGATCTCACAGCGGCAGCCGCTCGGCCGTCGTCTCGCTTTGTTCCAGCGAGTGAATCAGCACACCAACCACAGCTGACACACACACACACACAGACACACAGACGTCATCGGCCCCCCCTCTCTGTCCGTCTGTGTGTCCCTCCCTCTCTGTGTGTCTGTCGGTGTACCATTGCTCGCAGACACCAAAGTCCATCATCAGACCGCCACACACCGCCGCATAATGAGCTCTCGTCTTGTCCGGCTGTCGTCCGTCAGTCGACGACCGACACCAACACGCAAAAGGGCCACGAGAGAGAGAGACAGAGAGACAGAGAGAGAGATGTCAGCTAAGGCCAGGCAGTCAGCACGTATTGGGCAGCAGGGGTCGGCGCATCGGCCGATCTTTCTCCCTTCAGCACATGTCATCGCCACCACTCAGACAAAACACTCGTGTGTGTGCCACATATGACCCACAGGCAGACAAGCAGGCAAACAAACAGATATCTCTCTCTCTCAGCAGTCGTGTGTGTCCATTCATTCCCTCGCCCGCCCCCTCTGCGCGCATCTCTGTCACCGCCCGGCAACCCTAAAGCACCAACACCCTTCGTGGGCTGACGCTCTGGAGTTGCCGGTGCAGAAAACAGATGCCCACAGAGAGAGAGGGGGGGACACACACGAGGAAAACCAACACATGGTACCAGATACAAGACATGATAGAGAGGTCAGTGTCTCTCTCATCCACTCGACAGGCGGAGAGCTTTCCGTGGCGCTGGGTGGCTTTGTGAGTGTCTGTCCAGCTCTCTGGGTGGAAACTTCAGCCACCTTGCCGGCCGAAGCGCCAGCTCTTCGCCGCACCTTGTAGGGCGGTGCCGACACAAAACAGTGGCGAAGACTCTCTCTCTCTCTCTCAGGCAGATCAGTGTGTGTGTGTGTGTCGAGCTGTCTGTCCGTGAGCCGGCCGTGTGTGACGGATGCATCGACGAGAGATCAACACACTCTCGCGAGCACACGTCACACATGACAGATGCACAGACAGACGGCCACCGCCACACCACACAGCGATTCCTTTGTGCAGCCAGCCAGCCACTGATCCCTCTCTGTCTGTCTGTCTGTCATCTCTCCCCCGCCCCCCACTCACTAGCCGACACACTCATCGCAGCAGACGGCTGAGAAGTGGGAGATAAAGGACAAATGACAATGGCAGCCAGACCGACCGACACGCAAAGCCCCAGAACACAACACAGTGAGATCGACGCACATACGACCAAAAGGCGACATAGTGAGAGATTCAGTCAGTTCAGTTCAGTCAGCCCGTCCGTCGGCTCATCGGCCGATCTCTCTCCCTTCAGCACATATCATCGCCATCAGCGCGTCGAAGCCATCAGAGAGCCACTCAGACAGTCACACACTGAGGACACACAGACAGTCTGAGACAGACAGACAGACGTCTGTGTGTGTGAGTCCTGCCTGTGTCCTCATGTGTGTGTGCCCATCTCTCTCTGCATACCAGTTGGTCGAGTGCAGTGTTGTCGCCAAGCACCGCCGCCCCGCACCCCACACGACATCTGCAGCACACCGCACAAACAGACAGATGACAACCACCACCACCCGTCGCATCACAGCGCCATGCATCACCTCGGCGTGTCATCTGCTGGTCGCTCACCGAACTGCCCGCACCGATGTCTGTCTGTTAGTGCCGCCAGCAGCCGCCCCGCCTGTGTCAGCCACGTGTGTGCATCCTGTGCGTGGGGGGCCGCCGCTCATCACCATGCACTGATCTCAAAGATCCGCGCAGGAATGTGGAGGGAGGGGTCAGATGCACCCTAAAGCTCTGCGAGCTTGATGCAGATCTCCCGCTCAGAAAGCTCGACGGGCATCGCAGACGTAGGTGGTCAACAGCGCAGTCCAGTGGGGCAACAGAGACCACTTCATCTTTCGTCGAATTGATGGACCCTCCGCTTGACGTGACTGAAGCGCAGAGTCTGTCGCCGCTGACGGCCTCATCCCACGCGCCGCTCATCGCAGATGCCACGGCAGACAAGTTCCTCAAATTCCTGCTGGCGGATCACTCGGACGATGAGGCCCAGAAGGCGGCGGCGGCTGCTCCTGGTGGTGTTGGTGGTGATGCAGCGCGGCGTGAAGGGATGGAAGGGACGAAGGGGGAGCGTTCGGTGACGGAGCATCCGCTGTTTGGGATAGCGCAGAGCTACGTGCCGCACCTGACGTCACTCACCATGGAACGGCTCCTCAAAGAACCGGTGACCAACACAACACAACACAACACAACACACGCACACAGAGTAACGAACAGCATCGCGCATCTATGTCCTCTCTCTCTCTCTCTCTCTCTCTCTCTTTCTTTAATTCCACCAGACGATTCTTCAGTTGGAGCAGGAGCGTTTGTCGAGTGAGATGGAGACCCTGGCTGTGCAGAACTACGGCGCCTTCATCGCCAGCGCCAAGACAATCACGGGCGTGCGCGAGCAGCTGACGTCCATCGAGGGACAGCTCGATGACGTACTGGGGCAGCTGGAGCCACTGCAAAGGGGACTCCAGGTCAGGCAGGCAGCAAAAAGACGGATAAGCGCCTGTCCCATGGTCTGTGTGTGTGTGTGTGTGTATGATGATGCGACAGTCGTTTCAATCGACGGCCAGCGGTTTGGATCGTGAGCGTCAGGGCCTCAGGAATCTCCTGCAGCACCACAACACACTCATAGAGGTAAGCGACGAACCAACACACAAATGGCTCTCAACACAAAAGTTTCCGCTGGTACGGACGGATGTGCTGATCGTGTGCGCGTGTGCGTCTGTCTGTCTAGATTTTGGAGATTCCTCAGCTGCTGTCTACGGCTAGCCGCAACGGCCAGTATGACGAGACTTTGGACGGGCTGGCCTTCGCCCAGCAGCTGTTCCACCTCTTCCGCAGCCGCGGACACGACAGCGAACTACTCACCATGCTCGAGAAACAAGTTGGCAGATAGACAGACGTGGACACACAGAGTGATTCGTGGACGTACTTCGTGTATGGGTGTGGTGTGTGTATGGTCTGTCTGTGTGCAGGTGGCGGACCAGAAGCTGGCTCTTCAGAGTATATTGCTGCATCAGCTCAAGGGCGACATCCACCTGCCGGCATGTGTGCGCATCGTGGGGTGAGCTGCCCTGCCCCCCACACACGCACACCCACTTCACGTCTTCAAAGAGAGCTCATCTACGTCTGTCTACTGTCTGCCGTGAATGTGTTTGGTGTTAAGGTATTTGCGTCGTCTGGGTGTGTATAGTGAGGAGGAGTTGCAGGCCGAATTCCTCGCGAGGCGGAGCGACTACGTCGACACACACAGGAGACAAACAGAGACACTCACCATCTCAAACTGCGCCAAGTGAGTCGAACGCACCTTCGCCACATCACGCAACGCAACGCTGAGGTCGCCGGGCTGTCTGATTGGCCTGTCTGTCTGTCTGTGGTTGTTCCTTCGTTCAGTGGTCTGCGTGGCGCGGCTGATCTGCTGCGGACGCACATATGCGACGTCGGCATGCACTACAAGTGAGCCGAGCCCGACCAAAAGACAGACCGAGAGTCGATAGATACCACACACGTCATTAGTCTCTCCCGACCCGATGTGTCAAACAGGGCGTTGTTTGGTGGTACTGAAGGACCCCTGTCAGCGTGGCTGCTGGACCAGGTGTGCTGGTTCGTGGAGCTGCTGCGGGCCGCCCTCCTGCCCACCAAGTACCACCACCTCTACCCAGCCACACAACCACTGTACCAATCACCAGGTACCCATTGCACACAACAGAGTGGTATTCCCTCTCTCCGTTCGTGTGTCGACGACATGCCAGACGGCACGCTGGTGCCGGCCCCCCCGATGGACGCGTCATCTTTGGCGGCGCTGTACCGTCAGACGCTGCACACGTCATCGACACTCAAGCGGCTGGGCTGTCAGTTCTTCCCAAGCGCTGCTGTCATCTTCGACCTCTATTTGGAGGTGGGACGAGAGGCGAGGGGGCCGAGGAATGATCTTCCTGATGCATTGATGGGACTGGCTTGCCTGCCTGCTTGCCTGCCTGCCTGTCTGCAGGATTACGTGTGCGGCATGCTCGATCGGGCGCTACTCAACTTCAACACGTGAACTGGATGACAGGCGAAAAGGGCCACCCACTGCTCAACTCGGTGTCTGTGTGAGCGTGCAGTGAGTTGGAACGGTACAACTGGGTGCCATCGACGGCCCTCAGCACCCAGCCACCATCGCAGCAGGAGCAGGCAGACAAGACGCACAACGGCACAGAGGCGCAAACGGACCCAGCAGCACGTGAGCAACAGAACACACGGACTCACACACAAGCCGTCCATTGCTTCTGACGTGTGTTGTCTCTGCTCCTTTCTGCAGCCATCTCGCACCAGAAGACCCTGAAGTTGACGCGACACCGGCCGCTGGTGAGCAAGCAGCAATGAGGCTGAGTAATGCGCTCACTCCCCGCAATTGCGTTGCCTTGCTCTCTCAGGCCATCTTCGCCAACGAGTGGATCGCCATGTGCAACGAGCTAAGGTACGTTGGCTGACCAAAACACGAACGCATAGCTCCTTCCTTCCTATCTGTTCTCTCTCCATCCAATCCAATCCAGGCAGTGTGCATTGCGCAGCCTGCGGCCGCTAGTCGTCAAGTAAGGACGGACACCCCACGGAAACGCACAACACACCATTGCCCCATTGGCTTTTCATTGTCTTTGCAGGCACTGCACTGAGTGTTTGATGGGTGGTCTATCATTGCTCAAGGGCGTTCAGAGGGACTGCATCGGGGGAGAGGGGGAGGTGCTCACCAAGGGACCGAAGGGGTCGCCCACCGCCCTCAGTGCCACCACTTCATCCGCCACATCCAAGCAAAACGAATTCACGCTGATGTGCAAGGTGAGCATCCGAACACGCCGATGTCTGTGCGTATGTGACGCGCACTCATTGTCCATGTGTGTGCAGCATTATGCCGAGATATTGATCCCTCTGGTTGCCTCCCATCTCGCGGCCATCTACGGCACTCAGGCACACATCGACCAGGTGAGTGATAGATATAAGTCACGCTGCATGTGTCGGCCTCTGATGGATGGTGCTTTGCCTGTCTGCCTGTTTGTTGTGTCAATTAGCGTGGTCTCGTTCTTGCGATGGAGGCGGAGGGTCTTTACCGCGTCAGCTACCAGCCCAGCCCACCCACACAGCAACCGCAGCACACGCACAAGGGCCAGCAAGACCTCCAATCACCATCCCCCTCCCCCTCCCCGGCCCCTCCCCCCTCCCCCCCGACAGCAATGGACCATCCCTCAGCTGACCCGTTCAGTGCAGAGATGCCGTCTGCGGCGCCGCAGCTGGTGGACGTCGGTGATGATGTCTTTCTGACTGGTGGTGGAATGAGGGAGGGGAGGGCTAACGGCCACGAGCATGATCGGCCGGTGGAGAGTGCGCAATGGCATAGTGGAGGTGGCGGGGTTCAGATGAGTTAATTAGGAGAGAGGTGCGATGATGAGATGAGTTTGTGTGTAATGGTTATTATACATGTACATATTCAATGAGTGAGGCGTGAACGACTCTTGTGTGTCGCCGGACATGGCTGGACATGCACCGAGTAAGTCGGTCGCGTGAAGCACTCACATGGACTGAGGGAGTCACTCACACGGATGCCCCTCCCCGCAGAGAGAGGGAGAGAGAGGGAGAGGGAGGGAAGCATCCGCCGCGTGTCACGTCTATACATCACGTCAGCCAGCCAGACATACCATGCAGGCAGGCGGCAGCAAGAGAGCCATGTCTGTCGCACCACCATCTGCCCATCCGTCCATCGAGCCAGCTTACAGCCCCACACACGTGCTGCATGCGTTCCATCACCTGAAAGGCACACACACACAGACAGCAAGTGACATGAACAAATGAGTGAGTGTGAGCGGCACGGCCATCCATTCAGGTGTCGCCCACGTGAGTGGTTTCAGTGGATGGAACTCACAGCGCCTCACGGGCACCGACTCAGCATCGGCATCGTCCCGCAGAAATCGCATCATGTCAAGTGCCGCATCGATCTCCTGCACGCGTGAATGCATCATCACCACACACAGTCCATTTATCCATCCATCCATTCGGCCATTGATGAGTGGGAGGCCCTTCATTCCCTCATGTCTCCACCTCTCCCTCACCTGCTGTCGCCACTTCGGCAGCCAGTGGGCCGTGCCCTTCCCGTAGCCCCCCTCCGGCAACTCACTATGGTTGTAGATGAACCACACCGACGACTCAGCCGACTCGCTGTCGCTGTCGCCATCGCCATCACCACCGTCCCTGTCGCCATCGTACCCTCTCGGCGCCCGACCGTGAAAGGCCTGATCCAGCTTCTGCGCAGACACGCAGACACAGTGCATGTTGTTTGGCGGTTGGTGTCTCGCCGCCTTGTGTGTCTCGTCTCACCCCCTCCAGGTGTCCGTACAAGACGGCATCCATGCGTTTCTGCAAGGCGATTTGCTTGAGGGCCGGCCCCTTTGCTCCTTCGTCGCTGGACGAACCGGCAGCAGCCTCCTCGAACACACTATCGAAGTCCTGCAGGCAGGCACATACACAACAGAGAGTCCACTAATGCAATGGATGGATGGATGGATGACACGAGTATGCGCCTACCCCAGCCACTTACTACCTGAGTGAGGCGGCGAGGGAGGTGCACGCCGTCCTCCCCGATGCCCTCCGTATCACACGTGGTGCGTGAGCCATCGCTGTCGCGCATCTTCTCGAGCTGCACCTTGTCCTTCCCACTCACGGACTGGCACTTGCGACGCAACTGAGAGCGGTAGGTGAACGTCCCCACAAAGATCAGAAGCAGACAAACCTCTGTCTGTCGACGCTCACCAGTAGCGCCAGGCAGCCGCCAGGCAGACATCCATCCATGGGGACCTTCTTGCAATGGGCAGACAGCCACAGCAATTAATTTTCCGTTTCTCAAATCGTCTCACCTCGAGAAACTTCGGTTTGAATCTGGCGAACAGCTTTGGTGTTGCCGACTTCCGGGCATCCACATTGCACTCGTCCATCTGATCAGCCACACATGCCGACAGCAAATGCATTTATTTATAGACCAGTGCGGGGAATGCATCCCGTCCATACCTCCATCCCTTGGGTGGCCCCGGCCCTCCTCATCGAACCCGAGCGTTGAGCAATGTCAATCCAAGGGTATTGAGTGCCTTTGCAATGCCTTTCCGAGGGAAATGCCTCTGTGGGCTTCGCCAGCCGGATTGTATCAATATATGGGCAATTCGACGACTCGGTGGCACACAGCTGGAGCCCATGCAGCAATGGACACGTCAGTAACGCCACTGTCTCTCAGTGGAACCTTTTCTTTCACTTTTTCTGCGCTCTTTTTAGTGCAAGCTTGAACTCACCTTTGGGTCGCCCTCCATTTCTGAAATCGGATCTTTCCAACACTGGGATCTTTCGAGTGTTGGTGCTCCTGATGGCAGTCCAGGGAGCAGGCATCGTATCAGTGTCGTCATCGGGACTCCAGTGAAGCGCAATCAGCATCCGGCTCTGCTCCTTCGTGCACCTGACTTCCAATTGGTTTGTGCTGAGGCCACCTGAGGCTCGAGTGATAGAAGCATCAGCATGAGTCGCAGGGAAGACAGCCCGTGCCGCATGAAGGAGGAAAGCGAGAAGGTGAACGCAAAGCGCACAGCCTTCTCTCTGATCTGCATGCCTGCTGTGTGTGGTTTCTGTCTTGATAGGTGATGCGTTTCCTCGATATCCCATCCCATCTACTCGACTCGCGGTCAGCAGATGACGGCCAGAGGGTGGGCCATCGCTGCACCTCTTCAGCACGGTTGTGTCTGCAATGTGTTTGTCCCTCCATCACATCAGGCATGACAAGTGTTTCTGCCTCAAGTGCTACAGTCCGCCGACCCAACCGTACACAAGGTAGAGCACAGGAACACCAGCCACACACACGAGGGAGCCGCCCGAAGAAGACTTGCTCTCTGTATTGTTGGTATCCTCAGGGGCGACCCACCAGTCCCTTACATCCCTCCCCTTGGCTGGTATCGACGCGCCATCAAGCTCACTGATGACGAGCGAAGGAGGTTCGGCAGCTACGTGCCGGCATACCACGGGACGCGGATTGGCACCTACAAGAAGATCGTTGAGGACAGGTCCATTCGGGCACCAAAGTGGCGCGCGTCACTCGCTGACGTGTGGGAGAGGGGCTGGATGGCCATGGGTCACACGGGGTACTCGTTCTGTTCGCCGTTGGTTGAGGGCTCCGAAACAGGTTTTGCTGAGCGCTTCGTGGTGAGATGAGAGAGTACATACAAGCGGGGCCATCTCTTGTAGTATCTCTGTCCCTGTGAGTGTGTTTATGTGCAGATGGATGGGTGCCCGTATAAGGCCGTGTTTCAGCTGCTGATAGACCCACATACCTTCGTCTGCCATGACGGCAGGGGGGAACTGTCACTGCGAGAGGCCTGCAGGTCAGTCGAATATCGCATCCGTGTCCCGCCTGCTTCTCCCCTATATGTGTGTGCGTATTGGCGCGTGTTGTTCCCTCACACGTGCAGGGCCGAGTGACAGAGGAGTGGACGTCCAATGTACCTGGTGGCAACATCCCCTACGGCATATTGGTGCGGGCGTGTGAGGCGCCAAACCCCTACGCTGGGATGTTCTCGGGCATGCACGCGCCTCTCGCCCTCGCTCCCACCCAGCAGCAGCAGCGGCAGGGCAGGTAAACCAACAAGACTCCACTTGCGCTTCTCTGCACTACTCACCTGTCCTTTTAGTGCGGACCACCGACAGGGAGGCGGCTCAGGTGAGGGCTTAGCAACGAGTGCGGCTGAGGCGGCCGCCCCTGCCGCTGACGACCGAGTGGCCCCCCGTGCAGCCACCAAACGAGACAGCAGAGCAGCAGCTGCAGCAGCTGGTGGCGATGATGACCAAGATGGGGGCGAGAGCGACACAGGGTCGACCGACACGTTGGACAGTTTGCAGCTCCTCGAGATGCTGCGGAAGGTCAAGCGGCGGAGGCCCGACAGAGTGGTGGTTAGTGGGCCCGGCTAGGGAAGCTGATAGGGAGGGAGGCAGCAGCGGAAGCCGTCAGGCCCATCACACTGAGCGCTCAGCAGCCTACGGTTGTGGGAGCGACGAGCCGCAATGGGGCAGAAGGAGAGGGGTGCGGCACGGCGATAATGGGACATGGGCGGGTTGCGTGTCTATTAGTGGCTTGACTTGTATGCTGCAGAGACACACATGGTCCATAGACACACAAATCAGTCCACACGGTCATGAATTAGTGAGTGAGTGAATCTACGCATCACTAGTACTCATCTGCATGACTTTCCACCGACAGTTCCCCTGTAACACACTGGCACAATGGCGCAAACAAATCAGACACGTCACAACAGGACATATCACACACACTACCAGTACAGTAAAGCACCGTCGCTACTACTACAGGAGGGAGTGACGACAAAAGGTGACGTAAAAACGAACGAAACACTCATCAGAGACACACATACACGACACAGTCACTTGATAAACAACATAAACAAAGCACACGCCTTTCGGCGCTCCCGTCATGCCCCTCTCCATCCACATGTGTGTTCCCGTCTGCGTGTCTGCCCATTCTACTCATCTGCCCAGGCGCCACCACAGAGGCGGCCAAGGGAGAAGTTGCGTCTCCCAGCAGCCCGCCGGTTGTATCTTGCCCCCTGGGCCTGCCAATCGATGCCGATCGGCTCCATCCACCATGCCTCCACCTCATCGGCTGTGAAGTCCTTCTCCCCCGCCAGAGTGTCGGTGTTGTCGCCGAGCTGGCCCAAGGGCAACACACCGTCGTCAAAGCAGTTGTAGCAGCGCAAAACGCCATCTTTAGAGGACCAGACAGGGTCGACAGCGACCAAGAGGTAGCCGCCTGCGAGCACCATGCTGCACTCACGTCCGGCGGTCTTGGTATACCCCTTGACGTTGACACACATCCCATGTCTGTCTCGGCGCAGCGGCACCTTGGTGGCGGCAGGGTAGGTGCCGCTCAGTGAGATGAAAAACTGCCTGAGCGATGAGCGCTGGTCCTCGTGGTCACATGAAGACCAAGTTAAAAAATTCAAACAGCCGTCGACGAAGCAGCCGAATCGATGGGTCTCCTTGTGTTGGAAGAGGAACAACACGCCGCTGTACCAAGTCACCCTCCCAAACATCGTCGAGAACTTGACACCATGACGCGACGACTTGTACAGCAGGGTCGGTCTGCATCGCGGCTTGCCGATCATCTCGAGCACCTTTCCCCACTCCTCCGCCGACTTGATAATGGTCGTATCACCGGCGGGCAGGTCGAGGACGGGAGAGTAGGAAAGATTGTACTGCACCCATGGATAGGAAGAGGAAGGGCGATATTGTCTGTGTCTCTCCCTCCTGTCCCTCCCAGTGCATCACCATGGCCAGATCCTCCCTAAACAGCTCCAGCTCTGCCTGGTCCATCATCGGGGGGCGGATGTACTGACCCTTGGGCAGGACAGCGATGCGCCTTGCGAACTCAACCACGTGGATGAAGTGACGCCCAGGCGTCGCGCGGACACGCCGATCACCCCAGCAGGGAGGAGTACTGCAAACACACCACAAAAGACAACACAAGAGAGCCTCGCAGTTATCTGTCTGTGTGATCTCCGTTCCCCCCTGCCTCATGTGCGCGCCTACTCGGAGAATCGCATCAGCAGAGTGTGGTTCGCCCCGAGACGACGCAGAGTTCTCTTGAGGATCGTGCATGTGCGTCCGAGAACCTCCAGCGTCAGCAGCACACTGCCATCCTCGGTATTGTCCTTCAGGAAGGGATCCATCGCCGCCAGGAAGGTGCTCAGCTCCTCCTTTCGCTTCATGACCCTCTTCATGGCATTGGCGAGGTCGTCGACAGAGTCGTGAATGCCGTCCAGGATAGCACCGTCGCTGCGTGACTTGCCGCGAGGCTCGGCGCTTGCTGCAGCAGCTGCGGCTGCACGGCCGTGCTCGGGGTGAGCTGAGGGGACGCGGCCGACCTCTCGCATGAAAAGGTCGTGGTACTCGGCGTATGCGGGATCTTTCTCCTTGGAGTGGGGCAGCGCCACTCTGTCAGTGCGGCCCGTGTTGAAGAGAGTCAGCTCGTCAAGAAAAGTCTCAAACCAGGCCGGTGACACCTCGAGGTACACGCGGCCGTCGGGGTCTCTGGGCATGCCCTCGGTGCAGTAGAGCAGCAACACCGAGATATACCTTCGCTTCATGAGGGGCAGCTGGAGGGCGCAGCGACTCACGGGATACACGACGCCCCCTACACACACAGCAGACAAACAACAGGCCAATGCAGTCAGTGAATCACTCAGCATCCGTTCGTCCGTCCATTCGTTCGTTGGTTGCTCACCGGCATTCACGAGGATCTCGCCCGTGGCTTCAGCCGGGCGGCAAACGGCGCCCTTGGCCGCTAACATCCCCTGGATGTCATCAGCCAGGGTCTTCTCGATGGTGGTCTTGGCATCGAGAAGCCTCTCCTGAAGACTGTCGAACGACGAACGGAACTCCCTGATGGGCCGGCCAACACACACCCCAAACCAAGCCAACATACACGATAATCGCCTCCCGCTGCACAGGATTCTGACTCGACCCACCTGATCAGCGCATCGGCGTCCTCCCACTCTGAGAAGAGCTCGAACATCGTCACCACGCGAGAAGCGACAGAAAACGTTGAAGTTGCTGTGTGCTGAACACACACCGTGGTCAGAAGGATCAATCTCTGCCGAATGAGCCTCACGCAAGGCACGCAACGCGGAAGGAAGGAAAATCTCGGAAAGCTCGCGCGGGCCCGTGAAACCGCTCGCCAGACAGGAGGCGCCGGGGGCCCTTCTCGTTTGTTCCAACGTGCCAAGCAACAGATCTGGCGCCGCCATTCATCATCTCCCGCCTCTCGTGTGTCTGTGCTCTGCTCATCGCTCCAGCAGTGAAGCCGCTGAGGACGCTGCCCACTCATCTACGGCCTCTCAGGCTTGTCGGGACGTGCCATGCGCAATCCATCACATCTGCGTTCATGCCATCGCCGTCTAAGATCATGCAGGTGCGTTGCAACTCATGCCATCGGTGCTTTCTGTTCATTCACCTTCCTTCTGTCCTAATGCATTCATGCAGGTGAGGTGCTCGTCTGTGGTCCAGGGGTCGACGATGCAGCCAAGGGCCTCTGTTGAGAGTCCTACGTCACCGGCAGCCAACATGTACGACTATCTGAAGGGCGAGTGGCGGACATCCAAGGCCATCGACTACCGACTGGGTGGCGGGAGGGGCACCATGGACGGCACCGTCCACTTCAGACCCATCACATCCCTTCTCGATGGGTGGCACGGTGATGGTGACAATGCTCACACTCCGCTGCCCATCCTGCTCTACACCGAAGAGGGCACACTGACACTGGAGGACAGCGGCGGGTCGTTCGCGGCTTATCGCCGGTATGTCTACGACTGCCGCAAACAGATTAAGACGGACGTGTACTTTGTCGACTCCGATTACGACCTCGCAAAGCTGCTGGCTGCCGTTGGCAAGGGAGATGAGGGGGCGGTGTGCGGGTGTCTGCGGCACTTTCATTCGATAGAGAGGGGCGATGGCGGGGATGAGGGGCAGGGTGGGCAGGTCAGGTGCACTGAGCATGTGTGTGTGGATGACGTGTACTGTGTGCAGATGAGGTTTGTGAGTGATGATGAGTTTGAGTGTCTGTGGACGGTGCGGGGGCCCAGCAAGGACGGGCACATCAGGCAGGTCTTCAGACGAGTGAGGGCGGGAGGAGATAGCGAAGGATAGATAGCCGCGATTCGGTTCTGTGGACGACACCAGTAAGTGCCTTCATGTTCATATTCACCTCAACACGCCACGCCCGTCACGCAGAGTCTCTCGCTGACTGAGTCAATTAATTTAGCACCACACTCACACGCACACGCACACACGCATCACACAGCATGCCATGCATAATCAGTCGGCCAGCCAGGCGGCGGTGTCTTGTTCAAGGATCGCCGGCCGCCCCATCGAAAACGCCAGCCAGGACAGGCACACTCACAGAGAGAGAGAGAGAGAGAGAGGCTTAAAACCACCACGGAAGAGACAGCATGGACGACACAGCGACGGATGAGATGGACGATGCATTCGTGTACGTCGTACGAAGCGATGGAAGAGCACACACAAAACTGCCTGGAGGCCAGCCATCATCCCATCCCGTGGGATGGGGATGGATGCCTCTCTATCGCCAAAATCGTGTGCTCATGAGCTAGGCAGGCAGCTTACCTACGTCCTTACGCATCCTTCAACACGGCCCCTCTATTCATTGTCACTTTCCTTCCTTGAAAAATCGACCGACCCCTCCATCGGCATGGGCTGCATGTGACGTGTGCCACGCCTTCCTTGTTTGCGATACGTACGTGCCGAGTGGTCAGCGAGCGGCAATCCTCGCTGCTCGGCACCTACACGCAGGCAAACAGGATGGGCGGGACGGGCATGACGGACTGACTGGCTGGCTGGCTGGCTGACGGCGCCTTTGAGGAACATGACACACGGACGAAAGAATGCAGTAATCGCTCTGTACAGACAGACAGACAGACAGGCATACAGTTGATAGCATAGCAATGCACCACACACACATACACGCTGTACAAACATGACACGCAGGCCTCATCCATCCAAGGCAGGCAGGACGAGAAACAAACGTCAACGCATTTCTTGATTGAGCAAGCAGACAGAGAGGAACCTAGCTGAGTAAGTCAGTCAGGGCAAGGAATCTGCTGTTTCGTTTCCGAGGCCAGGCAGGGATGAGCCCGCCAGCCGTCACGAGTGTCCCCTAATTCGCACGAAAAAACAGGAGACAAACGTCACGGAGGAGTTCTTCACACCTACCTCGCCACAGGAAACGCGAGAGTCGATCAAGGCAAGCAGAGTCAGTCTTTTGGCTGTGTGACGCATGTCAGTCAGTGCCCTGCCACTCCAGCTCGCCCTAAACGCACGAGATCTCACCATTGTCGCAGGTCAGACCCAATGTGTTGAGAGGTGACTGTTGAAGGAGGGAGCTCACATTTCGTCCACACGTCGCCGCTAGGTCAAGAATGAACGAATCATCCAGCATGGCATGCATCTTTGCTGCATACGCATGCATCCTGCCCTGCATGCTTCCATCACGGCCAGCCAGCGTGTGTGTCGTGCCCCCTTCCCTCTCGCCCTTGGGGATGTTTCCCGACAAGACACCAGTGAGTGCATGTCGAGACACATTCCCGAGGAGACGTAGACAAGGGGCACGACACTTCACGGATGTGCCGCACAACACGGAGAAGGAAGATCGATACGATACGCTGCGATGCCATACGTTGCGATACGCCCCCCTCCCGTCATGTTGGTTGATCGCCGTCGGCGACTCTTCTTCACGACAAACAACACACACACACGAACAGCAGCGAAAGTGCCGTCAGGAAGGTAGCTAGGAAAATGTGGGCCCCCACTCAGTGGCAGGGCATATGCCATGGTCATGGTCATGAGCACAGGTACAATCACACACGCACGCACACATACACACACGCAAGACACATACACGCAAGACAGACATGCACCCCGAAATCACTCTCGCGCCACTCTGCAGTAGAACGGTTTGGGTTTGCTGAATCCGTTGAATGTGGAGCACGCCGCCGTCGTGTAGGCACCCATGTTGCGGAACACCAGCCACTCGTCCATCTGCACTCACACAAAACATCCAAAGCACCTCATCCCGCTCTCCGCCGGCGCTCTGTCTGCCTGTGCCTCACTCACCTCGATGATGGGCAGCATGACGTCTTTGAGAATGACATCGAAGCCGTCACACGTCGGCCCGAAGACGGTGGACCGATACACGGGGCCCCCATCATGCTCCCTGACACACACAGATTCCGCACACACAGATGGATGGCTCCATGTCGCGTCTGTGTGTGTGTGCCCATGGCTGTACCTGAGCAGCTCTGGTGTGACGGTTGCGTGGTCGTACAGGAGGCAGTTGAAGGAGCCGTAGAGGCCGTCGTTGACGTAGTAGAGGTACCGCCCCTCATCTGCGGTGGTCTCAGTCGGCGCCCTCCTCGCAAACACCCGCACGGCGAGTGTGTGGCAGGCACCGGCAAAGTACCGCCCTGGCTCGGCTATCACTTGCACCTGATGGACACGTATGGAGACACACATACCTTCCCCCCCCACACGTGCGTCGGTGTGTGGATCCTCCCCGTCCTTACATCTTTGTCGAACAGCTCGTCAAGCGTGTCGGTGATCTCTCTCGCCATCTCAGGGAAGGTGACCACCCCCTCACACACCCCGCCATCCTCCACCTCACACGGGAACCCGCCGCCAATGTCGAGCACCCGCATGTCGAAGCCCGCCCCCACGCCCAAATCGAACAGCCGCCTCGCATCGCGCAGCGCCCGCGAGAAGGCCCCCTTCTGCTTGCAGCCCGATCCCACGTGAAAGCACACGCCCACGACCGAGAGGTTGAGGGCTTTGGCGCACTGCAGCAGGACCCGCCACGATTGCTCCGGGGCGCCGAATTTGCACGACATTGGGCAGACGGCGTGGGTGTCGTCGGTCTGGATGCGCAGCAGGAGGCTGGATGACGGGTGGTGGGCCTGCAGCAGCAGAGGGGCAGGGCGGAAGGAAGACACATCCATTCTTCGTCTGAAATGCTGGAGTCTCCGGCTTTTGTGTCTCCGTGTCTGCTAACTTACGGCGATTTTGTGCAGCTCGTCCTGGTTGTCGAAAGTCATGAGCTGCACGTTGTGCTGGCGCGCATAAGCCAGGCCGGAGACCTGTTTGCAGGGGTTGGCGTACACTATGTCGCTGCCCTGCGCACCCAGGTCCAGCACCTGCAGCCGTTGCATCCGTTGCATCCACACGCAGACAAGTCATGGAATGGATGCGAACACACAAACGGACGGCAACAGACAGGGGCTTTGTACCTGTCGGATTTCGTTTTGTGAGGCGCAGTCGAATCGTGCGCCGAGGGCGGCCAGCACCCGCACCAACACGGGGTCAGGATTGCACTTGACCTGATGGATCAGATCATTGCAGAGACCACCCTGGATGGATTCGTCTGTGTGTGGTCTCTCGTGTGTGTGGGGCGGTTGCTTACGGCGTAGTAAGGTGTGATCTTGGGGAGCAGCCGCTGCCACTGACGATACTGATCGATCACCTGTACGCCAATACAGCGCAGACCTCATTGCCCGTCTATTCTCCCTCTGTATGTGTCGTGAGTTATCTCACTCACCCTCTGGATGTCCACGACAACAAACGGCCCGTCGACCCTTTTCTGATCCACCAGCTCACGCACCACCCCCACCTCACCATCACCGCCACCGCCACCACCGGCACCATCCACACACGCCATGCCCACCTCGACCTTCAGCCGCTCAAGCAGATCCTCCAGCGCTTCAGACCCACCACCACCTCCAGACACCGAACCGTCGCCATCGCTGCTGATGCTCTCGTCCAGTCCGTCGACATTGAGGATGAACGATGGCGTGGCGGAGGTGTTGGTGCATGACGACGACCGTCCGGACGAGTCGTTGTCTGAGTTGTTGCTGTCTGTGAGGGAGGGGAGGGGCGGGGACCGCATTGGGGAGGGGAGCTGGAGAGGTGAAGGGGGCAGCAGCGAAGACAGGGGCGGCAGTGGGCCGCCTGCCTGCTTCACTGAATGCCGCCTGCACACCCATGAGCACACAGACAGACAGACAGACAGACAGACAGAGAGTTACATCAAGGAGGGGAGGGGAACGCACTGCGGATGCTGGTCACTCACTCTTGCAGGGAGTAGTGGCTGTGCACGACGCGGTAGCTGCTGCCCGAAGCCTCCACCTGACGCACCTTGGAATAGGGCACTGCCGACACGTGGTGAGATGACGAGTCGCCGCCACACGGTTGGTGCAGGGGAGAGGGAGCAGGCACCACAAACCCATCCTGACACAAACAAACCACACACTGGCCGATGCGTGTGCCGGTGCCGTGTTCATGTCACCTCACCCACACACACACTCACCTCAGTAGGGCGTATGTGCACCAGGTGCACCTCCCTCGGCCTGAAGCACTCCACCACCACCCTCTGGATGGCCTCGCACGACATGCCATGATCGATGCCAAAAGGGAAGTTGACCTCCACCGACGCGTAGGACGTCTCCGGCTCGGGCGAGATGTGGGCATTCAGGAAGAAGGGGCCGGCAAGGGCGTTGCAGGAGTAACCCTGAGGCGCGAACCAGTACTGGTCGACCTCTGCACCAGAGGGCAGGAGGTCCCGCAGCGCGCCGCAAAAATGCAGCCCCCTCCCACCGCCCTCCCCGCCCTCCCCACCATCACCGTGCTCATACTCGCCCCTGCCGGCGAACCTCTCCACCGATTTGGGGTCGATGCCGATGAGCAGCCACTCGGTCAGAGTGACCACCTGCTCCCGCTGCCCTCCCCTAGGTCGATGGCTCCCGTCAGGCGCAGATCCTGCCTGCACTGCCGACAGGGGGGGCATGTTGCGCCGCTTCTGCGTCTGCTGGTGCGGCTGGGAGTGGTGCCTGCGGCCGTTGGGTGAAGAGAGGATCGCCGTGGTGGTGTGGGGGGATGGGAGGGAGGGGTGGGCGATTGCCGGGGGCTGGTCCTGGCGCTGCTGGTTGCTGCTGATGGGGCTTTGGTAGAGGAATATTGAGAAGGTGGAATCGGGGGCCGTCTGCAGCTCGAAGGCCTCGCCACTGGGGAAATACCTCTTCAGGAAACTCACCTGACACACATACACACACACACACACACAACCGTCCCACCACACCCCCTCTCCCTCCTCCAGCCGCGGCTCATGCTCACGGACGGACCTCTTCATTGAATGTCCTGTGTGGGTAGGTCTGCAGCTGTGGCTGGCGATAGTTGAGGTGCGTGAACAGGGCGTAGTCCACCACACTCGACAGAGCGATCGAGGGCCACTCACACTCCGACGACCTGCAGCTGTCCCCCAAGTGGTGGCTGGCGATGCGAGAGAGGATGTGGTCGGGGAGAAGCAGGTGGAGCAACGCGTCCGTGCACAACAGGGGAGTCGTAGTCCTGCAGACACACAGACAGACAGACAGACAGACACACACGAGTGCAGTGCATGTCGGGGCGGGCGAGTGAGTGCTGGACTGGATGAGAGCAGTGTGTTGGTACCAACATACCCGCAGGTCTTGAGGACGATGGTGTCGTCATAGACGAAGAGGGAGCTCTCCGACAGCAGATACGCAGTGACGCTCCCATCGCCGCCACCAACACCAGCGGCACCGACACACCCTCTCAGGGGCGACCCATTGCTTTCGTCCGACCGCACCACCACAGCACTCGCACGCTTCCCCTGCGAGTGCAGAGATGCACACGGGATGCAACGCATTGGGTGAGCGAACGAGTGGATGTTTGTGTCTGTCATCTCTCTCATACTGACTTTGGTCTTTCTTCTCTTGGTTTTTCGTTTCTTCTTGCTGGTCACTTTGGCGAGGGCGTCCACCGCCTGTTTGTCGGGGGGGCCGACGGCAGGCACCGACTTGATCTTGGACAATATGTGACACACTGCAGGCAGGCAGGCAGGCAGACACGCCACGCGACACACACGGAGAAAAGAAGAAGGAAACGACAGAACAACACGCATTTGCACATGGGCAGGGCACCAGAAGCGGGCTGTCTGAGTCTGAGTCTGAGCACTCACCGGCCTTGTCGAGCACCCCCTGCCACTGGTGATCCTCCACCTCTCGCAGGCTGCCCACATCCAGATGAGCGAACACGCCCTCATTCAGCCGGAGCACATACCGCTTCTCCACGCCCTCGAACCCAAACCCGCATACGTCACCCACACCGACACCCACACCACCCATCCCCTCTCGCATGTCGGGTGCCATCCCTGCCTGCTTCCCTCCCCCCGCTGTGGGCGTGTGTTAGGGAGGCTTGAAGGGGAAGAAAACAAGGGCGCCGTCCCTGAGTGGGGCAGGGACGGCGGCGGGTTGAAAACTCGGCAGCACGGTGAAAGGGCGCCGGTCACACGAGCGGCGCCAGATGAGAGGAAGGCTGCGCTCGAGCCTTCGGAGGAAGGGTCACCGGGATGGGAGGGATGGGATGGGCTGACGCGGCGAAGGCCGACGGACCGAGATCTGCCTCGCGAGGGTCAAGATCTGCAGCAGCGCCTGAATGCACGCAGCCACAAGGCCCTCGCCAAGCCCAGCAGCGCTCCGCGACAGCTAAGCGCGCAGCCTTGCCGATCCGAGCTCGCAGAGTGAAATTGCGGTGGACATGACAGCCAAACAGTCTTTTGTCATGCCGCTGTGGTAGGTTGCCCTCCCATGGTGTAAAACAGATAGCCGTCATTGCAAAGCGCATCAAGCGATGCCACCCCCCGAGTACATTTTCGAGGAGCACGCCTTCTTTGAAGGCCGCCACGGCACCCTCTATCGTGCCAAGTATGCCGACACATCCTCGTCTGCTGCCGGCGGTGACGACTCGCGTGCGCCGGTGCCGGTGTTCACACTCGTGGTGAAGAAGATAGCGGCGAAGGGGGAGGATGACATCGCCAAGGCTCACCAGGAGGTGGCAGCTCACCAGGTACACGGGATTGATGGACGGATGGCCGGATGGCCGGATGGCCGGATGGCCGGATGGATGGATGGATGGTTGTTCCCTCTGGCGGTTTCTGTTGTTGCAGTACGTGCAGCATCTCCCCCGTGGTGCTGGCACGAATAGCAACCCGGTGCCGCACCCCAACATCATCCAGTGCCTCAACGCCTACAAGAAGGACGGCTTCATCCACCTCGTCATGCCCCTCGCACACACCGACCTCGAACAACACGTCAACAGCCACGGCCCCCTGCAGGTCGACGAGCAGCGCGTGGTGACCCGCGGGCTGATGTCGGCACTGCAGCACGTCCACGGCAAAGGAGTCACGCATCGCGACGTGAATGCGGCCAATGTCCTGCTCAATTTGGAGAGGGGGGAGGGGGAGGGAGAGGGGGGTAGCAGGGGGAGGATAGCGGGTGTGCTGCTGTGTGACTTCGCGTGGGCCGCCAAGGATAAGCACGCCATCCCATGGCGCGACTACATGGGTACACCACACCACAACACAACACAACACACACCACCATGCCACTGTCTCGTTTTTCTCATGTATGTCAGGGACGCTCGGCCAGCATGCGCCCGAGGTGCTGATCGGTCCCGTCTGTTGGCAGGGCCAGCAGCAGCAGCCGTCGAGCAAGGCCGACATGTTCTCGGCGGGGTGTGTGCTGTTCTGCATGGCCACTGGGCAGCCCTCGCCCTTCCTGCCGGACATGCAGGAGCTCGCCGACCTGCAGCGGATGCATGGCGTGAGGGGTGTGGGGACCTTCCGCGCCCTCGATAGGATGGTCAGCTTCAAGGGGTCGATGCTCGAGGTGGGTGAGACACGTTATGGTGCAAGTGAGATGGTGCATGGATGGATGGATGGATGGGTGTGTGCAGTATGGGAACAAGGACGAGGCGTGTGAGGTGCCGTCGGTGGAGGCATTCAAGGAGCGGTTCCCCGACATACACACCGACATGGCCGACCTCATATGGAGGTAGGTACTCATGCACGCACACGCTGCCATGTCTGCATTGCCTGCCTGCCTGCCTGCCTGCCTCCTGTGTCTTTAGTTTGTGGGAGTACGACCCCGAGAAGCGTCCGAGCGCATCGCAGGTGCTGCAACACCCATTCCTCCAGCCACAGCCACCAGCAGCAGCAGCAGCATCAGCAGGAGGCGTAGACAGGGTGGAGGGAGCGGAGGTGCAGTGACGAGACGATAGCCATGCATGGCCGGAGATCGGTGGATGGATGGATGGATAGAGGAGGGGAAGATAGCCTATGAGTGTGTGCATGATTATCGACCTCCTGCTTGCATGTGTGCGGTGAAGGGTTGAGTACGGACTGACTGTGGGCATGACTTGCGCCACAGTGCCGGCACATTCGTCTCACGCTAGATGGCACACATTGAAAGGGCATAAGCAAGTCTCATTCGAGCCACGCAAATTAAATCGCCAAGACGCTTCATTTCGCACTCACACACGGGCGACTGACTGAATCCATTAACGCATCCCCTCGTCCCTCCATTTGACTCGACGAAAGCGCCACCACAGCCAAAAAAGCCTTCCCACACACATACACACACACATACACACACACAGGCAACTAAACCGATCATCGAGACTCTCACCCTCCCCCTCTGCAGCATAGAAGCAACTAAAAGTCTGCGATGGCCTCTGGTCTGTACAGCAGGAAACATCTCTCGACTGTCACGCCGTCCTGAGGAAATGTCCCTCCCAGCTGATTGACGAATGTCAGCAGGTCGATCACCCCCTGGTGCACTAGCCGACGGCCGTTGGTGTTGAGCTGCTCGCCGATGAACGACAAGACCGGCGCCACACTGACAGTACCAGCCCCAGCCGGCGAGGCGATGCGCTCCACACCGTCGGGCAAGGCCTCGGCACTGGCCACCACCGACGTCGGTTTGACCCCGAAACGACATTGGCCCTCGAGATCACGGGGATAGTCGACGGGGCTGTCTTGCCACTGCTGGGGGCTGATCAGGCTCGTCATGACCATGTCGAGAGTGGCACCAGTAGGCGGGGAGAGCTGGACCCGTATGCAAAGGGACACGACGCACGGAGGGCCATCGTCGCCCTCAGGCAGCACCCAAACCCATGGGGAAGAAAAACCTCTCTCCGCGGCGCCGTATTGGGTTGGAGCTGGTGGCCTCTCGAGGTGTGCTGCGTATGTGGGTGTGAGGGGCCGGGCCTGGTTGGCGAGGAACCGCAGCACAGTCAGGCATTCGGCGGGGGCGATGCCGGGCTGCGAAACGAGAATCGGAGGCCGACGAGGATGGACTGACGGCAGGCGAAGTCGCGAAACAGCACATCCGTGCCGTATCGGTTGCACCTGGCCAAGAATAATGCTCTCTCCGTGACGAATCGCGGTGGCCGTCCGATGCCGCTCCGTCGCGTAATCGCCTGCCACTGCTCATCCTGACGGACGATGATGCGCCGCGCGTTGGGGCCAAAGCGCGGCTGCAGCCACTCGTGCCGAGTATTGTCGCGATTGCCACAAGTCCTCTTGAGCCGCCAGACAAGGTGGGGCATTGAGTCGCGCAGCGACTCCCACGTCGGCATCGGTGATGCGGATCGGCAGTGTCACCTCACGGGCAGCCGACAGCACACTCAGATAGTCAGGCCAGATGTCCCACCTGCCGCCATCCCTCACGAGGCACATCGCCACGAACAGGATGTTGGCCTCGCGGCGCACGTCGAAGACGATGAATGCGCGGAGAGCCGCCGGGTGCCGCTCATCAATCCACCGCTGGAAGAAGGTGCGGTTGACGAGCTGTCGGTGGAAGTCGCGTCTGTTGATGAGCCGAAGTGGGCCGCTCTCTTTGATGGCCTTAATGGTGAAGCCGAGGATCTCATTGCCGACGGGGTGGCTGGCAATGGCCGTCAGACGAGGCGGCGTGAGCGGGAGAGAGTAGGACATCTGCAGGGAAGGGAAAGACAGTGCATGCAATTGACAGATGTGTGAAAGACTTCTCTCTCTTTTGATTGATGCACCTGCATGGACCTGTGGGCTTCAAGTCAGGTGGGGGAACGCACGCAACCTGCACAGTTTCCTTGCAGCAGCGGTTTCATGTCGCACCCTTGCATACTGATGCGAGCTTCCACAAACCCTCGTGGTCCGAGGCGACGATGGCCTTGCCTCCTCTTGCAAGAGCGACGATCCTTGGGCGTTATTCCTATCAACGTTGATAACGCCCGCGGAGCCTCGCTCCTGCCAGTGGGTCAAGGGCCATCAGGCGAACCGTATCTGCCTGCGATCTAACCGTATGAGCCTCTAGTCAGTGACACCTGGATCTGCCTAATCTTCGTCCCATCTCCATCTCCTCGCCACCTCTCTGACTTCTCTCACCTCTCTGACTTCTCTTACCTCTCTCTCTTACCTCTCTGTTCTCTAGCTGTCTCTGTGCTACCCCGTCTACCTCTGTCTTGAGGCGGTTGCAGCTCCAAGAAGCTCATCTGCATCATCGCTGAAGGAATCTGTCCAAGGTCGAAGAAATGGCGAGTCTGCTCTCTTCCCGTCCCCGTCTGTCCTCGTCGGTGCTGCCCACTGCAGCGGTGCTTCTGTCGACCATCCTGACTCTTGCTGACGCGCATGAGGGCCGCCGGTTGAGAGGATTCTCGAGTGATGACCCCATGGACTCATGGAAAGTTTGGCTTCTAGTTGGCGCCCTCGTCGAAATCATCCTCGTGCACGTCGTCTATCCGGGTGTCCTGAGGTGCAGGAACATTTGGCTCGACTACAGCCGAGAGAGGCGCATCAACCCGACACCGACCGTCACACCACCTTCGTCTGGCGTATGGCGCGGCACCGAGGAAGGAAAAATTCTCGAGACCTCCGAGTCCGTGGAGAAAGACGAGACAGCCCCGATCAAATACCTGCTCACATTCGGGCACGACGGCACTGTGACGGGCAGAGGCGATGACGGAGCCGCAGCCGAGTTCAAGATTGAAGGCTTTTACAACATGGCTACTGGACTCGTGTCGTGGTGCGAGACAAGAGAGGGCAGGTGCGGGAGCCGCCGTGTGGACTTGACCGGCGCTTTCGACGCCGCCCGCAAGTCTATTAGCGGCAGGTACATCGAATCTCCTTGAACACGGCGTGAGCTTGATTGGCATCCGGCTTCTGTTTGTTTGTTGCATCTGCTTCTCTCTGTAGGCTCACGACCTACAAGCTCTGGCGCAACACCATTACCATCCACTTCGACGGGCAGGAGTCGACGCACGATGAAGAGAGCGGGGAGGCGTCGACCAGTCCCCCGGCGCCCACCGCAGCGGATGTGGCGGCCGGAGATGGAGCAGCCAGCCACGGCCGATCAGAGGGCAGCGACCAATGGTGGCTCCGACAGGATGGCGTCCTTGTCGAAGTAGAGCAGGCCAGGCCGCCAGTGCCGAACAACCAGCCGGTGACTTGTTCCGATACGCCCATGGTTGTCACCCGCTTTGCGGCGTAGTTGGGCGTGTGGTGTGTATGCGGCCAATACACGAAGAGCGAGATGGGCGAGGGGTGGGGGGGGG